CTGCTGGTCTTCGAGCTCAGAGGCCCTATAATGGACCAATATTGACACCTCTTCATCGCCATAACCGACTTGTGTGGGCCACAAGACACATAAGATATACTCAAAGACAGTGGAATTCGGTTGTCTTTAGTGACGAATCTCGATTTACTTTGAGATTTGCCGATGGCAGGGCCCGAGTGTACCGCAGACGAGGTGAACGTTACACTCAAGTATGCGTCAGAGAAGTTGACCGATTTGGTGGCGGCAGCGTCATGGTTTGGGGTTCTTTTTGTGCACATGGACGTTCTCCTCTTGTTGTTGTCTAAGGGAACTTAAATCCTGTCCAATACAGGGATCAGATTTTGCAACCTGTTCTTCTTCCGTTTATGCCGAGACATGGGCCTGGACTAACGTTTCAACAAGACAATGCTCGACCCCATGCAGCAATTGCTACCCAGAATTTTTTAAGAAATGCTGGTGTCCAAGTCCTGGATTGGCCGTCGCTAAGCCCTGACCTTAATCCTATTGAACACATCTGGGACGAGCTGGGTCGACGTGTTCGTCAGCATGTGAATCCACCACTGACGTTGCAGGACCTTCAACATGCTCTCGCTGAGCAGTGGCGACGTCTTCCTCGGGTAGTGTTTACTAATGTTCTGAGATCCATGAGAAGACGTTGTGTGGCAGTACGAGACGCTAGAGGAGGCCACAACCGTTACTAAACACTTTATTCCGATTGTTCTCCAAGTCTGTGAATTTCATTTTGGGGAGTACTGTGACATCACGAACGTTATCAATGTCAAGGACTTTCGGCGAGACGTATTCTTGCTTTCTGTTGATGTCAAGGTCGTCTGTGCACAACATAACACTAAAATAGTTGCCTTAAACCAAATATTAAAAATCTAGTCCCAAAAATCCTGAGTGTCAAGTTTTTAATTTGGCTGAGTATAACAGGCCAATTGCCTACACATGAACATAAACGGTTCTTATGGGTGGCTTATCTGACGGCCCCATTTCACTCGAAAAGAGAAAATGGACGTTTTTGATTTTTGTTTTAATAATAAGTAATTGCTCCACCAATCCTCAGACATTCAGCAATTCGTCGTGGCATGCTCCTAATCAACCGTCCAATCACCATTTGGGACAATCTGACCCACTCACTATTGCAGTGCCACGGCCAATTCTTGAAGTGTTGTCGGTTGACGTTGACGAACACGTCTCCCGATCAAATTTAACGTAACACACTAAAGCAAAGATACTCTAAACAGTAAATCTTATGCAAGAACCGATAGGAAAGCAAACATGGATAGATAACCCAGTACGCGGCAGTTCTCATCAAACCTTCCTTGAAGTGTCAAATCTGACAATGAACCCCTCCCACGTGTATGACGCTATTGCGTGTCGCATATGCAGCTCAGTGGTTCAGTTGGGGCGATAAGTTCTTCATCTGTGAACATACTCTCAAAGCATGTCACGAGTCCATGACTATTTATCATATCACAACCTGCATATGTATTTGCATTTCAATATCCCCTACCCTTTTTGAAGAGTATATATATATATACATATATGTACTGGTACATTAGGAAATAATAAGTACAGTTTTTATTTTTTTATTTTTGAATAGTTTATTTACATATGATATCTACATAGTATTTACAGAATAATTACATGAAACACATATAACTCATTATATCTATTAAAACTTAACCAGTTTTATAATCAGTTATATTTAATAACATACCGTATATATTAAAACAATAATAGTTCTATAATCAGTTATATTTAATAACATACTGTATATATATTAAAACAATAATGGTAGGCCGTAGCGCCGCTGTTCGGGCAAAATTTCCCTCATAGCACAATGTATGGCGTATGCCTAGTCGGAGCAGAACAGCAGGACGTTAAACCCCATTTCATTTCATTTCACCCGCAAACATACTAAAGCGTTTCTTTATGGTGATCCCAATGAAAGTAACCCTTACAACGAAGTCATTTTTAACCAAGTTCACAAGTATTTTAAACTAACTAAACACTTTGAATAAATAAGGTAACAGGCCTCAGTAAATATGTTTTAGTGGTTTTATATTTTTTTATTTTTTTTTTATATTTAATTGTCAGAGCATTATGGCAGGCGATGGTGACTAATGTTAAAAGGTCTTAAGTACCTGATGATGATGATGATGATGATGATAGTGGTAATGATGATGGATGATATTAAGTTCTTTATTTCTTTATTTATCTATTTATGTATCTATATTTTTTTTTATCTATTTGTCTATGTAAATATGTAAGCTATACTTTTGAAATTTGTACATATTACTAATTGTATTGAAATGTATAAATTACATGGAGATGAATTTATATAAGCTTTGGCTTGTTTTCAAATCCATTACATCAGTATTGTATATACTCATGTCATAGTCATACTCGAAATAAAATATTGTTTAAACCAATATATCCACCACCCACATATAGTTTACAGGTTACGCTAGCCGGCCAAGATTTTGTGAAATGAATCTAACCTAAGCAGTCGAGTATCGACCCTTTCCTGGTCCTGATGCTAGCTAACACTTGATTATATTCTTTCTGTAATCTTATTATATATGTAATTTAACACTCTATATACATTTGTTTATAGTTGTTTGATCTTTTGCTAATATGAATTACTAGCAAGATACCCGGCTTCGCTCGGGGGTCATAACTCCGAAACCGGAAGTGGTAGACTAACGCCACCTGGCCTATGTTACTCCCCAGTCCGAGCTACCCCTATACCCCAAATTTCAGACTGGGGGCAGACCTAGTGTAGCTGCCAACCCCGAACAGACCGGCTTCGCTCGGGGGTCATAACTCCGAAACCGAAAGTGGTAGACTAACGCCACCTGGCCTATGTTACTCCCCGATCTGAGCTACCCCTATACCCCAACTTTCAGAATCGGGGCAGACCTAGTGTAACCGCCAACCCCGAACAGACAGACTTCGCTCGGGGGTCATAACTCCGAAACCGGAAGTGGTAGACTAACGCCACCTGGCCTATGTTACTCCCCGGTCCGAGCTACCCCTATACCCCAAATTTCTGACTCGGGACAGACCTAGTGTAGCCGCCAACCCCGAACAGAGTGGCTTCGCTGGTGGGTCATAACTCCGAAACCGGAAGTGATACCAACGCCACCTGGCCTATGTTACTCCCCGGCCCGAGCTACCCCTATACCCCAAATTTCAGACTCTGGGCAGATGTAGCCGCCAACCCCGAACAGACAGACTTCGCTCGGGGGTCATGAATCCGAAACCGGAAGTGGTAGACTAACGCCTCCTGGCCTATGTTACTCCCCGGTCCGAGCTACCCCTATACCCCAAATTTCAGACTCGGGGCAGACCTAGTGTAGCCACCAACCCCGAACAGACCAGCTTCGCTCGGGGGTCATAACTCCGAAACCGTAAGTGGTAGACTTACGCCACCTGGCCTATGTTACTCCCCGGTCCGAGCTACCCCTATACCCCAAATTTCAGTTACGGGGCAGACCTAGTGTAGCTGCCAACCCCGAACAGACAGACAGACAAACGACAGTCACAAATATTAGTATAGATAATTTTTGTTCACATAAATGTTCTATTAAAATTTTATATTTTCCTTGAAGTGGTGTGGTTAATTCTTCCGATAAAGCTGCTAATATTAAGTAATGATTAATCCCCTCCCCCTCCTCCTATACTTTACCCTCCTTCCAACTTTTGCCCTACAAAGCAAGCATGACTAGGTCTATGCATATATGTATTGTAAAATGACTTTGCTTAAGAGGAACACACCCTGTTGAGGCATATATCATTCAGAATTTTGGATAGAGTTATGCGGTCCTCGAGTTATTTCCCTTCCGTACTCTGCCCAAACAAGAACAGATTTTGACACAAAAACGCTATGATTTTAAACTATTAGTATTTTAAACTGTCAAAATGATGGTGAATTTGAGTAGATTTGTGTTTAACACGAGTTATGTCCCTTTGTTATGACTTCCAAAGTTCCTTAGAAATCACATTTTGACACAAAAAGGAACGATAGATTATCAAAAATCGATATAAATTATTGTGATATGAGTTGAAATAATGGTTGTTTTGGTTAGATTTGTGTATTAGAGGAGTTATGTCCCTTGGTTATGACTTCCAAAGTTTTGTGGAAATCACATTCTGACACAAAAACGCTATGATTTTAAATTAAAAATGACAATTTGATAGAAAGAACGGTATATTATAGTGATATCAGTTGAAATAATGGTGGATTTGGGTAGATTTGGGTAAATCGTGCTACCGTATTTTTAATGCTTAAAGGTCACCGGAAAAGCATCAATTTTTTTTTTAAATAATGCAAGTAATTATGTCAACATATCCTTTCCATAAGTATAACCCGAGCCCGAACGTCAATAATACCTGCAACAGGTAAATTTCAACATTAGTAATTTCCGCCGTTCTCCGTCGGTAGTCGGAACTTTCCGTCAATAAGCAATCCGTGACGTCATTTAAGTCCTTCTGCACATAGAAATATAGACTAGAATATGAGCAGAAGGACTAAAATGACGTCAAATTTACGGAAAGTTACGACTACCCACGGAGAATGGCGGAAATTGCTAACGTTGAAATTTACCTGTTGCAGGTAATATTGACATTCGGGTTCGGGTTATACTTATGGAAAGGATATGTTGACATAATTACTTGCATTATTTAAAAAATTTATGAACCTTTTCCGGTGACCTTTAAGAAGCTAGATTATGCCTATGGATAATTAATATTGAGTTGAGTGAAAACACAACTAACTGGGTGGTAATTTCTTGACATTCAGTATTATTTTGAAATTAGCGTTTAGAATCAGACCCAGAGAGAGTGATTCGGTGAAGACAAGTGAAGAAGAAAGTTTAGAAAGAAGAAATAAATAAAGCGACCATGATACATGATAATCATAATCATGTCAATTTCGATTTTGGGCAGTAGAAATACTCCCTCTTTCTCTCCATATATATTTATATAATTACATGTATATCTGATTCATCTTATGATTGAAACTGCTATAGCTACGGTTCGACTCATTTAACCATTTAACTGTCAAATAGTAAACAATAACTTCACATATACCACGTGGAGCTAATTTTCCTCAGAGCGGAAGTAAACAATACTGCACGTGACACAACCAAATGTAAATTAAAAAAATATATCTTTATATATATACATTGTCGTTGATGCTTTAAAAAATATAGTATTCTGAATATACCAAATCTAATTTATTCCATATATAAATAATTTTTAATAAATTGCAATGATTTTGTTATGACAACGATACAAAAATTAACCAATCCGCATATTGTTATGTGCCCTATTCAGCCAATCGACATCGTGCCGCCGCTATTTGAAAGAATTTCCAGACTGCTGTGTCTGTACATGTAAATGACAAGAGAGGGAATATTGTGTGTATATTCAGATCTAAGGATAAGGGATAAACTAATGCTTATATTCCAGTCTCTGTTGTAAATCCATGTTTGAAAATGACTACAGTTACACGCTCTTCATCGGTAAGGTATCAAAGCGTTTAATATCGTGAAATGTTTGAGGTTTTTTTTAGTTCCGAAGAACAAGGTACTCGGAAACTCAACCCGTGATGGCTTCGCCTTTTTTAGCCTAATGTTAACCGTGGGACACTGGGCCTAAAGTATTGCTCTATTATTAATTACCCCTTGGTGAACTTAGGCCTAGTATTCATCGACATTGGAAATGAGGTATATTTTAGTATTTAATTTTGATCTATTTTCGAACTTGGGCTAACAATAATATACTAGATCTATAATATATTATAGCCTAGTGGGCTACAAGATAGTCAGTAGTATAATGAATTTGACCCCGGCCCAAACGTGAACAGACATGTCATATTAGGCTATATTTCTTTCCCCTTGTCCAACGATTGAACGAATGCTAAATTGTTTAGGCCTAGGCCCTATATCTTTTTAAAATTAAAGATGATTGTACTGTAGACCCTACTCTAGATACTTTTGATTTGATTGTCTAGGCTTAGTCAGATTTATTCTAATTTAAAGTAGCTAAGTCTCTAACTCAATATCATCCAAAATCTTCAACATTGAAAACACGATTTATTTGTCAAATTAAATCAACATTCATGTTGTGATCTTACCGGAAAAAGATGGGCTTTTGATATCCAATATTTAAGACAAAATACCATAATGCGCTTCAATCCCAGTTGTATCAAGAGACTTGAGGGACGAGGCTAGACACATTGCACCAAATCAAACGGCGTATGTAGACTTGAATAACCACACTAGAAATTTGCACTCGCTTGAGACTGCTGGCTTATTTCGCCGAACATAACTGATTTGAAATTGGAGTAAAAACGGAAACCATTGAATGTAAATCAGTTTATATACATTCATACCACAGTATTATGTGTTGCGACCTTCTCTTGTCAATTTATAGGTCCCAAATGTTAGCGATTTAGCTCCTTTAATTCTAGTCTACATGATACATCTACAGGCCGTACTGTAGGTCCTTGCTGTAGGCTAGTGTTGAGAAATTATAGTTAATTTTTGGTATTGACAGGCAGGATCATTGAACTTCAAACAATATTTAGGATTGATGGGTACTAGCAGTTGGAAAATATTTAAATAGAAATGATTAGTTCACATTGTGATCTGTATGTAGATTAATCTATTACTATTACATTGGAAATGTTCTACTTCTAATTTATTTTGATAATTATGTTTTTCCAGGCTAATCTTGGTGCTAGTCAAAAGTTGGCTGTGAAGAAAGGTGATGCAATGATGTCGAGTAAAGGTATTTCCAACCGAAGCAATCGGTCTGCTTTAGGAGACATAGGAAATAAAGTTTCTAATATGACTATTGACCCAACGAAAAAAGCATTAGGCCTACCTGTAATCAAAAAGGAGATAATTCAGAAATCCAAGTTTACAAGAAGTAAGACTACCGTTTCGGAATCGGATATCTTGTTACAGGTAATTGAAACTAAACATGTACATTACATAACCCTATATACGGATACATAACCCTATAGCATACAAAATGCAATTATTTATATTATGGGCTTGGCATATATATGTGCCATTATTCCCGCAATCTTGTTAAGGTAATTGAAACGTGTACATTACATAACCCTATATACGGAGACATAACTCTATAGCCTATCATACAAAATGCAATTATTTATATTATGGGCTTGGCATATATATATGTGCCATTATTCCCGCACCCTGGATGGAATTGTCCAACATAATATTGAGTAGTTATAATGGAAATGAAATGGGGATTAATGTTCTACTGTTCTGCTCCGATCTGGGCTAATGTAGACGGGCATAAACCATAGTACAGTGTGCTATGAGGGAAATCTTAACCGACGGCGACACTAGGGCCTACTCTTAAATCGAATTCCAACTGTTCGGGTCGGGCCCTCTGTCCTGCATCACTGACAAGGAAAAAGCACGCTGGAAAATCTGGATAACTTTCTCGGCCAATGCAGGAATCGAACACGGTCCGGCCTCCCAGGCTAGTGAGCCAGTGTCTTGGCCACCGTGACCCCATGGTCATAATGGTTACTCACACCCAAGTGCCAGGTGATACTAATGCTGCATTTTTTATCACTGGATTTTTTTTTTTTTTAAAGGAGAAAGAGTCTGCTGTTGTAGTAGAGCTTATACCATCTTTAAAGATGCCATCTGAACCAATTGTGTCGACTGTTGATCTTATGGACATTAGTGAAGACAAACCAGACGCCTTCTCCAAAGTTTTATTAACAGTTGAAGATATTGACGCCAACGACAAAGATAACCCCCAACTTGTCAGTGACTATGTCAATGATATTTACCATTACATGAGACATTTAGAGGTAAATACTTGTTTGCATCACTGATTTGGGAGCCAAGTCCTTGAGATACGCAGGTTTGCAGGCTGGAGAAGTACCGAAATTACCTAGTAGCCACAAGCACCATATTTCACAGCAGATGAATTATTGAATTTTTAAAGATTGCACGATAGGTTTGTCCCAAAATGACCTGGTTTGTGTTAGGGCTGGCGAAAAATATCGATATAGCCGATAATCGTAGGCGACTACGGGGGAAAAATATTGATATTCAGTTCTTGATATCGATACTCGTATAAAAAAAATAAAGGAGCTTCAATAGAATGAAATTAACGGAATGTTTTGTGTCAAATAATCGCTGTCTATCATTCAAAACACTCTAAAACTAAAAACACACACACACTAGGCAAAGGTACAAAGATCGCTCCGGTAATTTTTGGGGTCTTTGACAACAATGACAATGAATAATTGTTCAGGGGAAATAACTAGATTTTAATAGAAATTTATTGTTGTAAGTAGCTGAGCGAGGAAAATTGTAAACAGCAATTGATGGCAAGCGCAAAGCTGCGATTACTATTTTGTTCATAATACTATAAGATAAGCTGTCAACGAAACAACATTAAGAAAACATAGTTTGAGGATCATAGTTTCTTTTTATTTGATCAATAACACATTTATTAAATGCATTATTAGCATACAGTTATTTTCAACTTCAAATTTTCCGATATATCGATATTGCCGAAATGGTTGCCGATATCAATATTCAAAATGGGTATCGATTGCCACTTGCCAGCCCTAGTTTGTGTCATGGAAGTTAAACACCATTTCTCTGCATGACAATATCTTTGACGTATCCAGAAACTCTATTTTTTTTTTGTTTATTTTTGTAGGAAACGTTTGCCGTAAAAGCTAACTTTCTTGAAGGACAAGAAGTAACTGGTAAAATGAGATCAATCTTGATTGATTGGTTATGCCAAGTTCATCACAGATTCCATCTATTACAAGAAACTTTATATTTAACGGTTTCTATAATAGACAGGTTTTTGCAGGTTTGTATTTTTCCCCTGGTTTGACTTCTACTTGAATGATTTCTTTGCCCAGAGGAATTTTCAGACCCGTCAAATTTTTCTGACTGAAAATCCTGATGCATTAATTCCATTGTAAATTTTTCCCCTCATTTTCAGTAGGCAAATGCCACGGCAAGCTCTGAAAATAATTCTTGTGTACCAGCATGAAATCCAAAATGTAGAGCTTTTTCAGTTGAACCATTACGTTTATAAGCAATTATGGTAGACAGTCTTGAAATATTCAAAACTCTGGGCATAAGATTTGGGTTAGAGTTGCCACATTGTTACCCCATTAAGTAACATTTTATCTATTCAGTAATGTTGCAATACAAGTTTAGACATTTATCTTTTTGACATCATTGATCTTTAACCCTGACTTTTGGTTTTTGCTCCAGATGTCGTAAACTTACGCCTCTAAAACCTGTCTTGTCTTTATGGAACTGGTGCCTTTTTGTAGTTTACCCATACCTTATTTTTAATTCTGCATCGTGGCGAAATATTTATCAAGACCATAAATTCTTTTTCCAGGTTCATCCGATTTCTAGAAATAAGTTGCAGTTAGTTGGGGTTACCTCAATGCTGCTTGCTTCAAAATATGAAGAAATGTACGCCCCCGAAGTGGCGGATTTTGTGTACATAACGGACAATGCTTATACCAAAGCCGATATTAGGACTATGGAACAAACAATATTAAAAACACTAGATTTTAGTTTTGGAAAGCCATTGTGTTTACATTTTTTACGAAGGAATTCTAAAGCTGGTCAGGTAATTTAATTTTATAGTTATGACCAATGTGTAGTAAACCTGAATAATTACAGGCTACTAAACATTTTCGGATACCTCTTGAAAGTTTATGGAAACTTTTTCATAATACAAATTGATGCCACACAATGTACGGCATCAAAGGAATGACTGTCATGTCTCACTTATTTCAGTCTTACCTTACAACTATTGGCAGGTGAACACTACAACCAAGTAGGTTTGACAAATGGCTAATATCAATAGATGCATTAATTGTACATGATTGCCTAAGCTTGAAATGCAGTGTTCTCATCAGTGTATTTCATAGTTTATTATCCTTACATCAAATTGAATATTTTTGCAGGTTGATGCAACCAAACATACACTTGCCAAGTATTTAATGGAACTTACCATTATAGAGTATGATATGGTGCATTGTAATCCATCTATTATAGCTGCTGCAGCTTTATGTTTATCTATGAAGGTGCTAGATGATTCACAATGGGTAAGTTGAACCCTGATTTTTTGGTATTTTAGGACTTTAAGTTCCACAAATGTTGGGTAAAACTTGTGAACATATATTTCTTAAGGCATCCTTATCAAATTTAGTCAACATCCCAAGTTTTCCTTACAAATAAGATGCTATGTATGGTTAAAATTATACTCTTCAAAAGTAGGGGATATTCAGAAACATACAAAACTGCACAAATGCACTGCTGTTTTTATTCGGTGTAACCAGTGTATGTTAATAACGAGCCCCAATTGCCTACACATAAACAGTTCATATGGCCGGCTTATTTGACGGCCCCATTTCACTTGCAAAGAGATACTGTCAAAAGTGAAAATGGACGTTTTTGATTTGTCCTTAAGAGCAATTACTCCACCAATCCTCAGACATTCAGCAATTCGTCGTGGCATGCTCCTAATCAACCATCCAAACAAGATTTGGGGCAATTTGACCCACTCCTCTTGCAGTGCCACGACCAGTTCTTGCAGTGTTGACATTGACGAACACGTCTCCCGATCATGTCCCAGACATACTCTAAAGGGAAAGGTCAGGACTCGTGGCTGGCCAAGGCATGGACAATATGCTGACACTGGAAGTAGTCATTCAAGACGCGAGCGCTGTTGACACGGGCATTATCATCTTGAAAGATGAAACGTCGAACTGCACGTAGAGCAAAGGGCAGAACTATCGGTGCCTGATGTGGTCACTATAGTACACACCAGTGACCCTTCCTTGAAACAATATGCAAGTCCGTTCTGCCAGTCATGGCGATTCCTCCCCACACCATAACGACCCATGCCCGAATCTGTCATGCTATGACAACATTACACTACACTAACATGTGGTCGTCGCGCATGCAAATGGACTGCATGTAGCCAATTTATTATCGTTGGGGTGTAACTTGAGGTGTCAAATTTGACAATGAACCCCTCCTACGTGTATGGCGCTATTGCGTGTCGCACATGCAGCTCAGTGGTTCTGCTGGGACAATAAGCTCTTCATCTGTGAACACTCTCAAAGCATGTCAAGTGCCCATGACTATTTATTATATCACAACCTGCATTTCAATATCCCCTACTTTTTTTTTTTTTTGAAGAGGTATACTAACCTGCTATTTTAGTCTGTATACTGACAACTGTTTTTATGCCGGTAATTGAACCATATTTGAATTTTCTTTTGCAGTCTGAAACCTTAGCTCATTACAGTAACTACTCGGAAAAAGAGATTTATCCAGTAATGCAGAAATTAGCTCAGTTGGTGGTTAAAGCAGAAACTAGTAAATTAACGGTAAGTATAACAAAATGATCCTGTAAACATCTTATTTTGCTTATTGTGAACAATATTCAAATGGGAACACATCAAAAACACATTTGTACACTTATGGATGTTTAATCTGTTATCAAGGGTACAAAGTCAGTGGTCAAAACCAAAAGTACGACACAGATGTCAGTAGCACGTGTGTCCTTCACAGGCCATCACGGTAGGCTACAGCATTAACGCGACCCCTGCAAATGTTTAGGGTGGTCTGGTGATGAAATGTGAAGCCTCCCCACATCATTATACTTCCCCCATCCTATCGTTTCGAAGACGCAGAAGTCTGCAAGACGTTCCCCAAGATGTCTCCACACACGTTGACAGCCATCAGTGTGATAAAGATGAAAGCGACTCTTCATCACTGAAGAGCACACTTTGCCAGTCTACTCTTCTGGTCGTTGTGCACGGAGTCCTACTTCTTGACGAGTCTTATGGTGTTGGCACTTACTGGTCCTTGTCTTCCGACGACTGCTGCACATGTTCGAGTCGCTGGGCGGAATCTGTCACGCAGATGAGTGACCCGGATGTAGGGGTCTTGAGCCTGGGTTGTAACGCGTTGTGGACCAGGACGTTGACGGTCACGTGTTGATCCAGTAACTCGAACACGTTCCAACAACCTTACAATAGTGGACTAGGACAATTGAAGTGTCTGGCAATAGCATATGTAGACATGCCAGCCCTGGACATTCCCATGGCTTCGTTCCGTTGATTTTCAGTAAATCTCGGCATCTCTAGCTCGATTCCTTCACACGTCTAACAACAAATCACGACAGATTGACGTTTCACAGTTCATGTACTGAACATTAAGTTGAAAACATGCTTTTAAAGGGCTCACACACAATGCTGCATGTGAATATTGGGTTTTTCATGTGCATCTCTGCAATTTTTTTTTTGTGCACACAGGCCGATATTTTTTGCGTTTGGGAGCATTGTGTGAAACAATAGTTAATAGTATTGCATAATATTATACATACAAAACCACCTAGTAATAAAATATTTGGGAAAAAAAGTGATGCGGTTTCCATGGCGCTCAGTATATAAATTGCTAGAATTACATATGGATAGCCAAATCATTAAATAACTAATATTACATGACTGTTTAAATGAATTTTATTTCAGGCTGTAAAGATAAAATATTCCAGTTCAAGGTTTATGAAAATCAGTTCCATTCCAGAATTGAAATCTAATGCTATAACGGATCTCGTATTATAGTGAATGTAGTGTAATTGTTTATTGACAATTTTATATAGTTGAGTGTTGGAAGAATGCCAGAATTCATATTTGTATCAAGTGGTCAGAATGCAAACAATGTCTTTCATATGTATTTTTATATTGTATTGTGTTTTATTTGTTGGTATATGTGAATGAAAACAAGCACGATTTTTATTTGTATGAATGTTTTAATCAATGCCTTTCCAAATGTTTTTTATAGTGAAATACTGTACTAATTATGTAAGATTGTTTTAAAATGGCGTTTTTGTTTTTAAATGTCGACGGACTTGTATAAATAACACTGTGGATGTTTTTCGAAGTCCAGGAACATACAGAATTGCAATGAATGACGAATCAAGTCCTGTCACATGACCTTATCACTGGGGTCTTGTCTCATTCGTGGGATTGGAAATCAATTCTGAAACATTTCAATGAAGTATCCCCTAGGTGTTAGGGAAATTGTAAGCACTGCAGAATCATGTACAGTTTTAATAATACTAATTGACATGTACAGGGTTAAAACAGACCAAAAGAAATGACTGTGATTTTTATCTTATTCCATTGTACATCTGTAAATATTCATGAATAAACTGTTAAGTTATTACAACTTTGTCCCATTCATTTAAAGCCGTCTTCCACGAATATTTGTATTGGTATTTACAGAATAAATACTTTTCAAATTATCTGACGCAGTTGAGCACGATTTGTCATTTTTCGTTAAATTTAGATGTGAACCACTTGATATGAATAACAGAAAAATAGGGTCACTATCTCATTTTCTCTCCCAGTCATTCTTGCACATGCATATCAAAGTGGGTAAGGATCATCTGTGATGAATAAAACTTCAGTTACTGTGTGTTGCTGTGCAGTTCTCGGTTTGAACCCAATATCGGGCCGCAAATCGGGGGGGGGGGGGATCTGCACAACACACCATAGCGAAATGTCATCTCGGATGAATCTAGATTCAATCTCAGTTTTCCTAATGGACGTCACCGTAACTGCGTACTGGAAAGGGATCGTTTTGGGGGAGGTGACGTCATGGTTTGGGCCGCTATCGACGTCCAGTCCCAGTTGAGGGTGGTCTAATCTCAACATTATGTTGACATCATCCTTCGTCCTGTGTTGCTTCTGCTGTCCGGGCAAAATTTCCCTCATAGCACACTGTATGTGTATGGCGTAAGCCCGTCTTCAATAGCCCAGTTTAGGAGCAGAACAGTAGGACGTTAAACCCCATTTCATTTCCTAAGGAACATTCCTATTGTTTGTGGTGAATGCCCAATCCCCTGGGGCAGAGCCACTCCCATTTTCTTTTTTGTTTGTCTGTTTGTCACTTACAACCCGCAATTCTTGATTGCCTTGAAATTTTTTTTATACTTATTCCTTATACCCTAAGGCTGACCTCTATTATTTTTGGTGCATGACCGACCACCTGGGACAGCCATGCCCAATATTTGTGTTTCGCCTACAGGCCGCAATTCTTAAAGGGACAATAACACTCTTGCTGGCTTGAAACCTCCAGAAAATAAATAATATCTCTATCTAAGTACTAGATGTTTACGTGTCCTTTTTTTTTTACTTGTCCAGAGGGTTCAAAATAATTTTAAATCGAAGTTTCATTTGAAAAGGTTTACTGTTAGACGTTTCAAACCATTATGTTGAATTTTTCAAAATTTTTAAATAAGGTGTGTTAAGATGAAATTTGTATCATCAAATAATTAAAATATTCTAAAATAGTTCAATTTGTTGACCAGAATAAAGATTGGGACATATTATTCAGTTACAACAAGAGTGGTATTGAGCCTTTAACAGATCCTTTTGAAACTTTACTGCATACCTATTCCATATAGTCCGATCGCCAAACTCAATTTTTCGAGTGAACCTGGAAATTATTTACAAAGTTTTTTTTATGGTTCATTTTAGTAGCCTAGGGTGTCCTCTTTCAGAATCTGCTGGGTGAACCTCGGTCACCCATGAGCGTTTTGAGAAATTCAAGATGGCGTCCAAGACGGCCGCCTCATCAAATAATCCCCTATAGCCCCCATAGTATTTATTCTAGGATGATAATTTTGGTGTCTAACCGTATGTTTCTGGGGTCAAGGAATACACTGAAATCATTTATTATGTTGTGGGGTGATTAGATCATATTATCAAACATGCTAGACAAGCTGAACCTTTTACTCGTTAGCGGCGGTTGGGGGCGATTATTTCACCGAACCAAACTATATCTAGAGACAAACTATTTATTTCTGGACTTAGGAGCGTATGGGTGATAGGATAACAACACATACATCACTACCGGGGCCTTCGTGGCCACATGGGTAGGTCCTGAAAAGGGAGACACAAGCTGATTGTTGAAAATTTAAAAAAACAAATTCTACCCGCAAAACAGGAACATAACTTTCACAATACTAGATAATATCCAGTTTAATACTTTAGTCGTGTTTCTGGCTGCAACCTGGGACAGCACAAGAGCAAAATATTGTATATTCTAAGCCCTCCCTAGTGCAGCTACAAGAACACGTACTACATGAGCTATCACTATTGCATCCACAAAAATAATTTTCATTCAATTTCTTTTCATTGCATGGGAAATATAAGTAATTAGATGACACCCCAAATTAAAACAACAAGAACAAAAAACCCTTCAAAACCCCAGTCAACAAAACTCTTTGTTCCTATTATATTACCAGATGATTCAAGTATAAATTAAACTATTTTCAAATAATTAATAGACCAAAAAAAAAAACAAACCCTAAAAAAAAAATCTACACCCACTTCATATCTAATGTCTATAAGAAATATCTTTGTAGGCCTACAATTGTTTAAAACGAGAGAGAGAGAGAGAGGGTTTAACGTCCACTAGACACACACTAGGTCATTTCGAGACTAACACATGGTTCAATTTTATTTGAATAATTCGCTTGCGCGTAGGGGTCTTTAGTAGTGGGAGGAACCTGAGAAAACCCACGAGGTTGGACGGGCGACCCTACTCCCTGTCACGTACACCGGGGAATCGAACACACTAGGTCATTTCGAGACTAACACATGGTTCAATTTTATTTGAATAATTCGCTTGCGCGTAGGGGTCTTTAGTAGTGGGAGGAACCAGAGAAAACCCATGAGGTTGGACGGGCGACCCTACTCCCTGTCACGTACAACCGGGGAATCGAAACGCCGTCAGTCCTATAATACTAGATACGCCATATGCAAAGTATTAATTATGGTTTTGGGGTTATGATGATTTATATAGGAGCCAAGGGTATTTCATATTGTGAAAAAAATCATTTTAATTTAATAAGATAGATAGGCATTATCCAATAAGGAGTGTGGCACTTTGGCATTTTCAAATTATTATTGAAAGGGTCCATGGGACTCACATTTCAAATCTAGGCATCGGAACATTGGTTATTTCGTGTATTAGTTTAAAAGTTATTAAATACTTTTAAAATTACCCAGATGAAAACAATTATGATGGTTGATTTAGTTTGAGCAGCATTTTGACAGAACTGATGACAGAGTTGTAAAAGTTTGCGGAGAAAAGGGTCAAGGTTCATTTGGCGCATGCGCAGTAATCCGTGCTCAGATCGGTTAGCGTTTACACTACGAAAATTTAAAGCGAGCCGGTCCTGGTACCGTTCCGAGACCACCTGACTTCAGTCGGCCAGATTTGCACCGTACCTGGTATGTTTAAAATTTGTAATGTAAACAGGGTTTATGATTGCTCTGCAGAAAGACTCTTTACACCCCCTATATCCCTCCGCTGTAAAATCATCTATATTCCCCAAACTGCTATGAAATTCACAAAAACACATACTTATGGAAAAACAGCTACTTATTTATTTGGGCGACGTTTCGAAGAGTATTCTCTCAACGTTATCAAGCTAATACAGTAATGCAAGAATTATGAGATCAATATATACAGAAAACTATAACAACAATTCATGAAACCATACAGGACAACAAGATCAAAGGGGTTTATTCTACAAAAAACTAATTAAGTGTTAAGAGTAGCCATTGAGTAAAGTTAAGCAATTAAGTAGCTAAGATGATAGATACAATACTACCGACAGAATGGGATAGTACCTAGATACAATCCTAGAGACCGGGATAGTAATTGTCACGCTTTGAGCATAAACTTTCTTTGTGGATATAGCGCATTATAAATATGCACATTATTATTAACTCTAGGGAGTAATTAATGGAAATTGCTCAAATTCAGAGAGAGAGAGAGAAATGGGGTTTAATGTCCACTTGACACAAACTAGGTCATTTCGAGACTAACACATGGTTCAATTTTATTTCAATAATTCGCTTGTGCGTAGGGGTCTTTAGCAGTGGGAGAAAACCGAAGGACAGACTTTGGTGTTAGAGTGTTCACAAGGATCAATAAAGTGAAGATTTTCACCGAAAGATACTAGATCAACTTACGACTTCAAACCAAAATATGATTCAATGAGAAAAGTATCATCATTCTCATATCCACATTTTACACTTCCTCCACCAAATTACCAAGATATGAGATTTCCACCCCCAATTGCTGATTTTAAGCTACCATCGGATTATTCATTTTAATTCAGACATTAACCGTCAAACTAGTCAAGGAAACCAATTTAAAAACATTGTTACTGGACTCTTTGTATATGACAAGATTGTCAAGTACTTTTGCAGTTCAACTTGTAAGAACTTATCGTATTGTACGATTTTACATAATGCGTATGTTAGTGCTATATTCTGATTCTTTATATTTCATTTGGTTGAGCAGGTAACAGTCATTTTATTTAAGCTTCCGCACTCGCTATAAATACATTATAGATTTGACCAGTTTGTTTGTTGATAATTAATTGTGATTAGTTTAGTGTTGTTTGTTTTCAATACCGGTATGTTTAATTTTCTGACCAAGAAAGGTCTTCACATAGGACATTTAAATGTTTGTTATTTTATAAACAAAACAGCGAAACATATTTATCAGACTCCGTGAATGATGGTTCTATTATTTTTCTTGGTTTTCATTCACCATTTAGAAGAGATAATAGTACATTTAGTTCTTCTGGCACTCTGTTATATGTAAGAGAATCTATTAATTGTAAAAGGAGAACTGAAGTCATTTGGATTGAAATTACTATAAAGATAGGTTGCCAGGCAACAAAACATACGCCCACAGCAGCTAAATCGTCTGAGCAGTCGACAAGGTTTGTCGCATATTTATTCTTCTGTAGATAATTTAGGGAATTTAATAGACAATTTCATACAGATGACATTATAATTTTCGTCGTTTGAGGGTTCACAAGGTTCTAAAAACTAAAACAAGGGCCATAACTCTGGAAGTAATCTACAGAAATTGTTGAAATTCGATAGGCTTTTTTGTTTTACTAATTTAAATAATGCATATAAATTTCATACAGATCGGATGATAACTTTTGTCATTCGAACGTTCACAAGGTTCAACAAAGTAAAACAAGTTCAATAGGCTTCATCGTTTCACTAATTTAAATGATGCATATCAATTTCAAACAGATCGGATGATAACTGTTGTCATTAGAGCGTTCTCAAGATTCAACAAAGTGAAACAAGGGCCATAACTTAAGATGTAATTAATGGAAATTGCTGAAATTCAATAGGCTTCTTTGTTTTACTAATTTAATTGATGCATATAAATTTCATACAGATCGGATAATAACTTTTGTCGTTAGGGCATTCACAAGGTACAACAAAGTGAAACAAGGGCCATAACTCACAGCGTAATTAACAGAAATTGCTGAAATTCAATAGGCTTCCTCGATTCACTAATTTAAATGATGCATTTCAACAAAGTGGAACAAGGGCCATAACTCTAGATGTAATTAACGGAAATTGCTGAAATTCAATAGGATTCTTTGTTATACTAATTTAAATGATGCATATAAATTTCATACAGATTGGTTGATAACTTTTGTCGTGAGAGCGTTCACAAGGTGCAACAAAGTGAAACAAGGGCCATAACTCCAGAAGAAATTAACAGAAGTTATTGAAATTAAATAGGATTCTTCATCTCACTAATGCAAACAACATATATCAATTTCAAAACAATCTGATGATAAATGTAGTCTGTAGAGTATAAAAAAGACATCACCTATTTTAATATCTTGTTTATACAGAAATCCGGCATCTAATGTTAAATGACATTGGTTCTGCATGGAATCAAGGAAGTGAACTTATCATTTTTGGTGACATAAAATATCGATCTGTTCGACAGCAAAAATTCTTATTGGACGGATTCACTCAATTTTTACAATTTAACTCAAGACATTTCTTCTCCAACCCGTGTTACAAATTCAACTTCTACGTTAATTGAACATGTCACTGTATCTGCCCCAAACCATATTATTGAAACTAAAGTGCCATGTTATTCTATATAACCACCACTTTCCAACTTGTTTTACATGGTCCAAAAGAGGAGTAAAGATCCCCAAAACAGAACATTTATATCTTACATACAGATCTTTTCGAAATCGTTGAAGATGATTACATGCATGATTTATGCTTAATTGACTTTGAAAATATCTACCTGATAAATAACCCAACAGATGTTCTTCAAATTTGGTATGAATTAGTAACTCCAATAATTGATCATCAAGCTCTTATCAGTTAAGACTGCTATCGAAATCGTTTAAAAACAATGATTTGTCAGTCTAAATCAAAGTACCTCCAGGATCTTGTCGGAGATAACAAAAATTCTAAATAAATCATTAAATTCACCAGCTAACAAATATAACAGCAGTCCCCACTTACCACTGGATAGCAATCTAGTTAATGACTTCTTCTCTAACGCAGCCAATAAAATCCTCAATGACCATACAGATAATACCTCTAGTAACATAAGGCGTGATGATAATAATTTAAAAACCTTTGTAAACTCTAAAGTACCCGATGGCATATCTTTCCAAATTCTGTTTATGAAAACAACTGATGTGGTTAAATCCCTACAAAGGCAGTCGGTCTTGATTCAATAAATCCACTTTTTCTCCGCTTAGATGCTGTTCAACTTTCTGCTAGTTTCACACAAATAAATCATAACATGTACCGTTCTTTATTTAAACAAGCTTACAAGGACAGCTGTCTAGTCGTTTGGATAGGACGAAAAACCAAGGTCCCATGTACACATTGGCATGCACTTAAAAGATCCCTTGACAGTTGGAATTCGATATAGGAGTAGGCCGTATAAATCGGATAATAATTCTGACCTCGATGAAAATGTGGGCGTATAAAAAAATGAAACGAAATATAGATCTGTATTTTTAATCAGATTGGTCATTGGCTAGATTATCCAGTTAAAGGGGGGTAAGTAGCTCTAAAACAAGATGTCGAAACCCATGAAATTAATCTAAGATTAAGAATTGCCATTTCAGAAAATCGATATCTGTATTCTTTAATTAATCCTAATTTGTCGTCACGATTCATGTTTGTTTATGGGATTTATTTGGGGAAGGCCTCATTTATTACTTGACTTGAAGACTAGAAGGTTCTGGGTGACCAAGACTAAGGTATCATGCAAGCTTAATCTGACCCTGTGGTTTCTGATTGGTAGTAGATTGGCTGACTAAGTCACAATAAGATTGCACATTAAAGGTTTAATTAATTGAGGCTCTACTTGATGTGTAGTCATATAACACCAACCTTTTGACACTAATGTATTATGCAAACCTATGAATATTATAGTATTATTAATTCTTGCTTTGGTTAAGTCTTTTAAGAATATAAGGTTTATGTCAGTCTGATCAATAATGACAGAGAAACACCCTGTAGTGTGTGGGTTTTCTTAAGGCAGCAGTTGGCACTAATGGGGTGAGTTAAATACCCTGGGACAAAATCGTGTTGACAGTTTCCAGGCTTTACAATGTACACATATATTGTGGGTAACAGGCGCTTATCTAAGAATATCTTAATGTTTGTCCAATAAAGATAAATAATAAGTAGACAGATAATATATTTCTATCCAAGGCTAGTTTATAAAATAAATTATGTATGTTTAGTTATATTTTATTATATTACACAGGTTAGTTTATAAAATAATTTATGTATGGTTAGTTATAAAGTTAAGGCTATTATTAGTAAGATTCAATAATTGCATATCTTGTCAATTTTCCTCCTCGTATTTCACGAATTCTTCCACAATGTCTTAATGTTGTGAGTATAGATCTCGTTATTGCATCCATTTTAATAGAAGAAAAGTCCTTTATATCAGCTTCAACAACAAAATACACACCTACAAAGAAAATGACAAAAAATTTATTGAAGAAATAATGTGGCAAAGGGTCAATAAACAAATTCAACAATACTTACTGGAAGTGTTCTTTAGACAGAACTGGGTTAATGTTCACATCCAAAAAGACAATGATAGAAAATAAGGAATAATGAATGGTCCTAAATTATGAGTTCTACAACAACTAGCTGTTGCTAGTTTGGTCTAAAATTCCTGAACTCATAGGTATGGAAGAGCAAGAATTTCTGTCAAGCAATCTGAGAGGTCTATAGCTGGGTCACAGACTAATCAAACTGGTGATGAAAAATGTACAGTATTATGAGAAGGCCTTGATACGATGTTAAAGCTAGATCAAGCCTTCTATTGAAGATGACTAGTGTTATGATAACCATGTTCGCTTGAGAGAATGTACAATTGTGAGACAAAAATGAAAGCTCTCTGAACAAAATAAGATTACCTTCTGTGTCTTTATTCTCTTGAATTTTATAGTTTTCAAATCTTTTTCTGGAAACATCATTCATTGTTGACTTTTTCATGCGTAATATTTTATATTTGGCTATAAAGGTCTTATTTAATTCATCAACCAGAGAGTTCACTTGATTATATGTCACTCGACCCTTCATATATCTGGGAAAATGAAGAATACAAATTAATTGACTTTTTTTTTTCTTTTTAACACCAAAAGGACCTACTAACTAAGCCAAATCAGAGTGAGTAAGAAATTTCTGATAACACAACTAGGTCAGTTTGGAACTAACATATAATATCTTTGTATACATCCACATTTTCATGTGGACGTACATTGATGTAGCCCCTCTCCGTCCGTTCACATTTTGTTTGTGGACACTCTACAGGTCACATTTTTTATCCGATTTTAAAGAAACTTGAAATATAGGTGTATCTCCCAAAGATCTTGGTTCCTTGGCATGTATCGGACCGTAACTTCATGGATTACAGCCCCTGGTACAAAAAATCACATTTTTTTAGCCTGTGGACACCCTAGAGGTCACAATTTTTATCTGATTTTGATGTTTATAACCCTAAGATCTCGATTCCTTTTGATATTCGCACATATCGGACTGTTACCTCTTGGATCATGGCCCCTGATTGAATGAATAATCACGACTTTAGCTTGTGGTCCCTCTAAAGGTTACAATTTAAAAAAAAAAAGGTTTAATTATATCACCATGAGGGTTGAGTTCGAACGGAGGGACGGACAGGGGAAATGACAATATATGTCCACAAGAAAATGTTGGCGTTTAAAAAACATGTTTTTTGAGGTCACAATTTTTATATGATTTAAAAAGATAGGTTGCCAGGCAACAAAACATACGCCCACAGCTGCTAAATCGTTTGGGCAGTCAACAATAGTTGTCACATATTTTTACTTTTGTCGGTTATGAATCATTTATAATAGATTAAAATCTGATTAAGAGTAACAACTCATTAAATAATTATAAGAAAATCATTAGAATTCGTTTGGCCCATGCTAATGTTTAGTATACAAAACATTTAATATCATAATATTATGGATTTAGCTGTTCAAGTTATCAAAAATCGTTGAAAATCAATATACTTGTTCATCTCAAGACCTTAAACTCTGTGTATCAATCTAAAGTCAATTGAATCGATTATATATAGGCGTAAGCGTAAACACGATGTATAAATATATACAATCAATCGGATGATAACTATGATGGTCTCTAAAGCATCCGTCACAGATGCAGAACAGAGGGCCTGACAAGGAGAGCTGTCTAGTCGTTTGGATGGAACAAAAAACCGAGGACCCATGTATACTTTGAAGTGCATGTAAAAGATCCCTTGGTAGTTGGAATTCGATAAAGAGTAGGCATGGCGTATGCTTTTCTTCATTAGCACAGTCGACGCAAAACAGTAGGATGTTAACACTGTAATCCAGGTATCATTTAATCTTATGTATCTAGCACTTATTTCTTTCACAATCGTTTAATATTCAATCATTGTTTAAAAATGCATAAGATAGGTTGCCAGGCAACGAAACATACGCCCACAGCAGCTAAATCGTCCGGGGAGTCAACAAGAGTTGTCGTATATTTTTACTTTTTTCGGTAATTAAACATTTATAATACATTAAAATCTGATAAAGAGTAACAACTAATTAAGTAATTATCAGAAAACCATTAGAATTTGTTTGGTTTTTATAAAGTTCTGCCCCATGCAAATGTTTAGTATAGAAAACTTTTAACATCAGGGATTTAGTTGTTCAAGTCATAAAAATTCATTGAAAATCAATATACTTGTTCGTCTCAAGACCTTAAACTCTGTGTATCAATCTGAAGTCAATCGGATATTAACTTTAGCCTCTAGAACGTCCACAAGATTTTTCAAAGTGATCAAGGGCCATAACTCTGGCAGAACTTATCAGAAATCGCCGAAAATCAATAGGCTTCTTCGTCTCATGACATTAAACACTGTGTATAAATTTAAAGTCAATCGGATATTAACTTTAGCCTCTAGAACGTCCACAAGATTTTTCAAAGTGATCAAGGGCCATAACTCTGACAGAACTTATCAGAAATCGCCGAAAATCAATAGGCTTCTTCGTCTCATGACATTAAACACTGTGTATAAATTTAAAGTCAATCGGATATTAACTTTAGCCTCTAGAGCGTTCACAAGATTTTTCAAAGGGATCAAGGGTCATAACTCTGGCAGTAATTATCGGAAATCGCTAAAAATCAATAGGCTTCTTCGTCTCATAACATTAAACACTGTGTATAAATTTAAAGTCAATCGGATATTAACTTTGGCTTCTAGAGCGTCCACAAGATTTTTGAAAGTGATCAAGGACCATAACTCTAGCAGTAATTATCTGAAATCGCTGAAAATCAATAGGCTTCTTCGTCTCATGACCTTAAACACTGTGTATAAATTTAAAGTAAATCGGATATTAACTTTAGCTTCTAGAGCGTCCACAAGATTTTTTGAAGTGATCAAGGGCCATAACTCTGGCAGTAATTATCGGAAATCGCTGAAAATCAATAGGCTTCTACTTCTCATGACCTTAAACACTGTGTATAAATTTAAAGTCAATCGGATATTAACTTTAGCCTCTAGAGCATCTACAAGATTTTTTGAAGTGATCAAGGGCCATAACTCTGACAGTAATTATTGGAAATCGCTGAAAATCAATAGGTTTCTTCGTCTCATGGCCTTAAACACTGTATATAAATTTATAGTCAATCGGATATTAACTTTAGCCTCTAGAGCGTCCACAAGCAATTGTGGACGCCGGACGGACGGACCGATGGACGGGGGTGACGACAATATACGACCACATTTCAATGTGGGCGTATAAAAAACTGTTTAAAATCACCATAAATCATTTAATTTGTACTTCTGTCCAGTTTAAAGCTGACCATTCAATTTTGATGAGTGTCCAATGATGTATAATGATTAATTTTTTGAAAAGTGGTCAGGAAATTAAATACTTGTAAATTGAACACTCATTATTAAAATTAATCAGTCAGCTTTAAACTGGACACAGGTACAAATTAGATGATTTTTGATGATTTTAAACGATTTTTACAACAAAGATTTGATATTAAACGAAAGTGAAATAAATTAGTGCTAGGTGTACAAGAGATAAATTATACCTTGTTTACAGTGTAAACCTCATATCATTTCATTTGTAAAGCATCCACAAGATTTTTCAAAGTGATCAAGGGCCATAACTCTGGCAGTAATTATTGGAAATCAATGAATTTCAATAGGCTTCTTCGTCGTTTGACCTTAAAAAATGTGAATAAATATTAACTTTAGCCTCTAGAGTGTCCACAAGATTTTTCAAAGTGATCAAGGGCCATAACTCTGGCAGCAATTATTGGAAATTGTTAAACACTGTGTATATAAATTTAAAGTCAATCGGATATCAACTTTAGCCTCTAAAGTGCACACAAGATTTTTTCAAAATGATCAAGGGCTATAAATCTGGCAGTAATTATCGGAAATCGTTGAAAATTAATAAGCTTCTTCATCTCATCATCTTAAACACTGTGTATAAATTTAAAATCTATCGGATATTAACTTTAGCCTCTAGAGCGTCCACAAGCAATTGTGGACGCCAGACGGACGGTCAGACGATAATATACGACCACATTTCAATGTGGGAGTATAGAAACTGTTTTAATTTATCATCGTTACACACTAATGATGGTTGTGTTCAAATCTCGTGAAAATCGGACCGAAACTGATTGACAAAATGGCTGTTACTTGTACGCAAATATAGTATTAGGGATTTCAGGTCATGTGATTTTAGCGTGAAATCGGACATCCAGTGGCTAAAATGTAGCCCACTTCAATCTACGATTCTGAATTATACTATTCAAAAAAAGTAGGGGATATTTGATTTTGGGGGCATAATACTAAAATATGCAAATGACTACGAAAAAAGTCACTATAGAACCTAACAGAGAAATCGTGTCATCACAGCAAATCAGATCAGCGCTCGTCTTCAAACAGACACTGGTGTGAGAGTGAGTGGCCAGACGATTCGGAATCGACTGCATAGGGGTCACCTTCGCGCCCGACGTCCTCGCGTGATCCCTTGTTTGAGAGATCATCACATTCAGGCAAGACGTCGTTGGTGTAGGGATCGTCAACACTGGGATAATCGACGCTGGAGCAATGTGATGTTTTCAGATGAGTCAAGGTTCACTGTTGATTTTTTGGACAGATGTAGGAGGGTGTGGCGTCATCGAAACGAGCGCTTCCAAGACATTAACGTCATCAGACATGATCGATTTGGTGGTGGTTCTGTTATGGTGTGGGGAGGCATCACTGTTGCTGGAAGAACGGCTTTACATGTTGTTGCAGGGCGTGTTACAGGCCAGTACTACCGGGACAACATCTTGGCAGTCCATGTTGTGCCGTTCGCACGACGTCATGGCCGCCGTTTCATCTTCCAGGATGACAACGCAAGATGTCACAGGGCCAGGATCGTTACAGGTTACCTCCAACAACAGAACATCACCACATTACCGTGGCCAGCACTGAGTCCCGACCTCTCCCCCATCGAGCATGTCTGGGACATGCTTGGACAGAGGTTACGTCAACGTCAACAACGTCCTGCCAATGTCCAAGAACTTGCTGCTGCGTTGCAACAGGAATGGGACAATCTGGACCAAAATGACCTTAGACGTCTCATTAGGAGTATGCCACGTCGGATCAATGATTGTTTGGCAAACAGAGGAGGATTTACCCGTTACTGACTTGGTTGTGATGCTGTGGTAACTTTGCTGTTTGACCCCGGGTATCATTTTACCCTTATAATGGTCAGTCTGTGCCTTACTTAGTCTAACGATCATTTGGAATAAATCGATGAATGGTGAACTTCATTTCATTTTGTCATTTGTTTCTTCGTCAGTTTCATTAGGTGACTTTAATAACACTTAAAAATCAAATATCCCCTACTTTTTTTGAATAGTATACTATTTCATGTAAATGCATTACTAGCAATTGTATTGTAATAGTTTAATATCAATCTCAATATCTGCTACGATTCAGACTCAAAAATTATCAAAATGTAAGTGAAATTACCATTTATGTACGTGATACGCTCGCGGGAAAATATCGCTCCTCTGACGTCACATGGATTTTCCATTGCTACGGCTCACTTCATTGGTGAATCCGCACCTTAGTTTCTGGGGGATTTTAATATAGAACCAATCAAACGATAGATAACATTTTTGTGATTATTATGATGCGTGATCCCCCCCGGAGATCCGACAATTTTTGCCGTAGAAAACAGGATTTATCTGTTTTGCTGACCGAAATTTGCTAAATTTCGACTAAAGATAGCCTACTTTTTTGTGGTATCATCCAGATTATAAATATTTGAAGAATTATCATTCAAATTATTACGATTTTAATAAATCTTGTAACATGGACGGGAAATCTTCCTTTGTTCTTTTCGTTGAATTAGCAGATTGTTTTCCCTCTAGTAGACTAGGTGGAGCTTAAAGCAGAAATTGCAAATTTTCTAAGAAAGTCAAAACGTAATTATTTCTATGTCTTTTGCTCAATAGGTTGTCAACTCACAATTATACGATCATAGGTGTCATTCTCACACTTAAAACTCATTTACACAGGAAATAATAACACAATTACCTCCCTTGTTTTCTATTCTCCACCACGGAGTAGCTTTTTTCAAATGTTTGAAAATGAAGAGGAAAATGATATTTTTGCCAATTTAGATACCATCTATTTTCAGGCTTTATTTTAATAAATTTTAAAAATATAACTTAAAAATTTGCAATTTCCGCTTTAACCGTTCAATAACTAGACATGCTCAATGTTATTGCAATCTTTTGCTGGTTTACACTAGTTTTAGTAGAAATCATATTGAGAAGTGGGGTGGGTTTTCTGCGCAATAACAATAAGCATGTTGAGCAGTTGTCAATGTTACAAGTCATTTATAGCACGCTTCATTCTTTAACAGGTTTAACATCTCAACCTACGGTCTCAATGTTTAAACCTGTTAACCCATGAAAGCCGTGCTATAAATATAACTTAGCTGACTATAACGTGCAGATTTCAGTTTTAAAATTGGTACTACCGATTCTGAAGGGAAAATACCGCTTATGACATAACTCAGATATGCCTGAAAAGCACTTATTTTCGTGCCATGCCACGCATTGGCTTGTATAGAGCATTTTGATTACATTATTGACGTCGATTTCAGGTTTTAAAATTCCATAACTTTGAATCTAATTAGAATATTTTGATGAAAAAAATTTTTTGGGGTAGCATTTTATGTATATTTTCACAAACTATTTTCAAAAATTTTTTTCTGTCATTTGAAACTTTGACCTGAAACCCCTAATAGTATAAAAGTATGTAATACCAAGGATGTGGACACTCTAGAAGTCAAAGTTTTTATCATATCTTGATGAAACTTAAAATATATGTTTATATCAAAAATATTTTGGTTCCTTTCGATATTCATGCTTAATGAACCTTGAGTATGGCCCCTGATTGTACAAAAAATCCTGTTTTTGGTTAACTTGTTCTCTCATGTGGGCGTATCTTGAATGACAACTGCTGATTTTACGTAAGATCTATAAGATTACTCGGTTTTAATTTTAAGAACAAGTTATATTTATAGCACGGCTTTCATGAGTTAACAGGTTTAACCAGAGGCAGAAGTCCGAGGGGTTAAACCTGTTAACGAATGAAGCGTGCTATAAATGACTTGTAACATTGACAACTGCTCAACATGCTTGTTGTTACTGCACAGAAAACCAACCCCACTTCTCTATATGATTTCTACTAAAACTAGTGCTAATCAGCAAAAGTGTTCAATAACATTGAACATGTCTAGTTATTGCACGGTTAAGCTCCACCCAATCTACTAGAGGAAAAACAATCTGCTTATTCAACGAAAAGAAAGGAAGATTTCCCATCCATGTTACAATAATGTTTATTGCTTACTATTTGAATTTTTAAAACAGGAACTCGACTCTAGGAGCTATTCATCGTCTTGTTCTTCTTGGCGGTGATGCTCTTCGAAAAAAAACAATTCAAGTACGATCGACATGGCATGCTTGTTTCTTGGACAAATGTCAAAATTCTAACATAGCAGCGATGACATTGTCCATAGTACACTCATACTTTTTCTCTTTGAACTTAGAACAGAATTAATTCTGACAGCTTGTACTTACTTCGGTACTTCCTCAAATTCATCTACTGTTAAATACTCAATTGATGGGCAGTGCTTTCTTTCAGTTTTTTTAACTTCTTTATTATTTTCTGTTTTGATATTTCCTGGTTTGGTCAAAGATTTAACTTTTTGGTCAGTTTTATCGCTTTCACTGAAAATGTAATGGATATAAAACAATTGTTCAACAATTCTTGATGAGTGTCAACCAGTGGTTGCCAGGCAAGATACGCCCACATTTTGCAAGAAATGGATAGAGAACAATCTAAAAAAAAAGTAGTGATTTTTCGTACAATCAGGGGCCATAATCCAGGAAGTTATGGTTTGAAATGAGCTAACATCGAAATGAACTGAGATATTTGGGATATAAAGATATGATTCATGTTTCACCAAAATCGGATAAAATTTGTGACTTCTAGAGAATCCACAACAACCTTGGTACATGTACATGAAGTTTAGATCTGATACATGCCAATATCAAAAGGAGATAAACCTATATTTCAAGTTTTGTCAAAATCGGATAAGAATTGTGATCTGTAGAGTGTCCACAAATTGTGGACGGAAAGGGGCGTGTGGACGGACAGGGGAGACGATATTATACGTCCACATAAGAATGTGGGCGTATAAAAATACAGGGATAGACAATCTCTGTGTTATTGGCAATCAACAACCAAATACTAGTAATGTACATGTTATAGGATGTATAGAATATAGTATCAAGCATTATGCTACCTGCATACAGTAAACACAAATGGTGCTCAATTACAAACTACCACCACCGTTTATTTCGCAATAACACTACACAACTTTGTATCAAAAATTAAAAAGACAGAAAAGTTATATGCCAAGTTCTAGATGTTTGAAACAGAATCTCATAAAGTTTCTTGGATGGCATAAGATATGTCCCGGATACAAAAATTATTCACCAAAAACTATTATGCTACCTGGTTATACTATAGTGGACAGAAGTTGAGTTAAATTAAAAACATACACCACACCAATGTTTTATTTTTCACAATTACACAAAGTATAAAAGACTGAAAAGTTATAAGCTCAGATCTAAATGTATGAATGATGCAAGTTTGAAGACAGAACTCAAAGTTTAATAAAGATATCTTAGACCGCATATAAAATATGCTCCAAAATAAAAATTGCACACCAAAATTGTTCAAATTTGTATTGATGAAACACTAATATTATTCAAATGAAGCACTACAAGGGTTATGGTGAAAACCCATATTCCTGAAGCAATGGTCCGAGAAATCCCTCTCTGGCCATTGCTGGATTGACTTCTGATACTTGAGTTTTTGAGGGAGTGTGTCTAATCTTCCTGTTCAATCAAATCTCTCCTAAGTACAGCAACATGACAGCCCTTCGTTCAATCTGGGGCCTCCCAGAAACTTTGGACAGTGATTTAAGGTATTAAAAACAATGAAAAAATTGTTTGTCTCCAAATAGTATTGTTTACATTGTAGCCATTTTGATAGCCTTGTTTGTCATGCAATTAGTTTTTCTGCCATATTCTGCTATGCACTGACTGGTTAATTGGGTGTAATAAATTTCTTGAGTCAGGACATAACATTATACAAACATATTTGGAGGTCTATATAAACCCAAATGATATTGTTATGCAGTTAGGCATTGGTTGTTAATCGGACTATTGACCAGTCATAATTTGGAACAAAAATTTGCTTTCATTACGGCAGTGTTGAGTGGGATTAGGTCTAATCAAACAAAACACTGCAAGAATTATGTAACAGAAATTTGCTTTCATTACGGCAGTGTTGAGTGGGATTAGGTCTAATCAAACGAAACACTGCGAGGATTATGATGAAAACCAGGATTTAAAAATCCTAACGGTGCCTTTATTTTATACACACGACACAATTCCTTAAAAGACAATTACTGTTTATTACTCAAGGTTTTCTAGTAGTTTGTGTCCTGTGTATCCAGTACAATTACATAACACCATTGAAGCAAATTAAGGCGTTCATTGGATCACGGTGAGAATCAACTACATGACATTCTATGAAGATCCAGTGTCATAACCACGGGCCTACCATATTATCCTCCCCCCCCCCATATAAAATAAATGGTCAATGCAAAATAAATAAAAACATGTAATGAATTACTTGTTGCTATTCTGTAAGTTATTATGTGGTAGTCTAGCTGGTATATTATTCGCAGTGTAATTAACATCTTTTATCAATCTGTGAAATTTCTTCTTTATTTCCTGATAAGATAAAAAGAAAAATGAATAAAAAAAGATAGCTTCTATATAAACCTTTCATCATCTTCATCATATTGTTCCACATAGAGACCTGCACACTAGCTCTGAAAGAAATAAGAAATGAAAGGTGTCTGTCAGTGAATTCCATATGAACAACAATAAAACTCAATGACAAACAAAGTCATCCAGTAAAACATGTTATACAAAATATCATGTTTGTGTAAAACTCTTCCCAAAGACATGCTGGATAGTTTGAATTATACATTACGTTACATCCTTTCATTAAAATTGAGAAGACTAACTTTAAACCAAAATAAAATGTATTTTATATAAAGCTGCTAGGTTTTCTACAGAGTCTGTCAAGTGTCAAGAAAGAGAATCAAAGATGAGTTGCCAAGTACCGAAATATATGCCCACAGCAGCTAAGTTGTCGAGCCGTTGTCGCATCTTCATTACTTTATTGGTAATGGGACTTGGGAGCATTTACAAGACACTACAAACTGATCAAAAATAACACTCTATTATGTCTACAAACACGAATCTTATTTAAATTATAAATTCACAAACATCTCATGGATATATGGACAAATTTACAAGTGTCATTAAAATCAGACAAAAATTGGTCTGCAGGGAGTATAACAAACAACTTGTCTGTAGAAGTGAATATTAAAAATTATAAGAACTACGCTCGTATATCAATAAATATTGCAATTTTTGTAAGCTATATAAATTACCTCAACAGATCTTAACTGTTCCTTTTGTTTACTGATTTCTTGTTTTAGTAAAGCCATGGTAATTTCTAAACTCTGTAGTTCTCTTTCTATTGTAGACAAATGTTTTTTGCAATGGGAATCATTACCCACATGTCTTAGTTCACAAACTGTATTTAGATTACTCAGTTTTTCATTAAAATGAGCCGCGAGTTCTTCAATACTGGAGCTTTCCATCTGAAAATAAATAAATCAACCTGTAAACTTGAACATGAAGGAATCCCCTGCGATCAAGAATTTGGAGTGGTGACACATCGATTTCGGTTAATTCATGTTAAATATTGCCAATTCGTAATGTAATACGAATTCTCTTATTTCTGTATTTCTGCTTCTTGATTGTTATGTTGATTTACTTCTAGCTCTAATGTGTATAGAAACCTCTAACATAGCAGTCTAAAAGATCAGTTTGAGTTTGAACCAGCGGCTGCCAGGCAGGATACGCCCACATTTTGCAAGAGATGGATAGAGAACAAGCTAAAAACAAACGGGATTTTTTGCACAATCAGGGCCAATAATCCAGAAAGTTATGGTCTGAAATGCGCAAATATCAAAAGGGACTGAGATCTTTGGGATATAAAGATATGTTTTAAGTTTCATCAAAATCAGATAAAAATTGTGACCTCTAGAGGGTCCACAACCTTGATAGCATACTTTTACACAATTTTGTCAGCCATTTTGTCGGCCAGTTTCATTTAGATTTTCCCGAAATTCAAATTCAACCTTCATTATGGTGGAATGGTGATATATTTGAACGGTTTTTAAAATCTATAGAGTCCACATGCTAAAAATGCGATTTTTCAAACAATCAGGAGCCATAATCCAGGAAGTTACGTTCGGATATACGCGATTATCAAAAGGAACCCTTGATCTTAGTGTATAATGGTGATATATTCACAAGTTTTTTTTAAATCAGATAAAAATTGTGACCTCTACATGGACTGCAAGCTAAAAACGTGATTTTTTGTACATTCAAGGGCCATAATTGAGGAAGATACAATCCGATATGCGCGAATATCGAAAGGAATCAAGATCTTTGGGTTATAAACATGTATTTCAACTTTCATCAAAATCGGACCAAAATTGTGACCTCTAGAGGGTCCACAACCTTGATTTAAGAGATGTTTACACTATATGCGTACGAGGGGCGGCCATTTTGTCCAGAAGTTTTGGCCCAATTTTCATGAAATTCGAAGTCAACAAACACACAAGACCCAATAATACATGCAATCTGCGATACCTCTTTTGACAAGTGATATTTTGTTTTAAATACATTTTTATATAGACGATAATTTTAATAAACAATGTTTGGACATCTCGAACTGTTCTTACAATGTTTCGATTTCAGTATCTGTCGAATACCCCCCCCCCCCCAAAAAGTAATTTAATCAGGAATATTATGGACAGGAACAGTCGGAATGTGAATTAAATATGGAAATTATTGGGAAGCAGTGGCCTTTTTTCCCCGTAGTTTTTGTGGTAATCATAAAACTTTGAAAATGGACTAATAACTACAGAGCATTGAGATTAGAACATGCGTTATGAAAAAATATCAATTAAAATATTGAAATAAGGTATGTTTATTTATAAATGTTAGCCACAGAGTTGCATATAATTGACACTACAGGGATGTAGGGCCTAATATAATTTATTAAAATATATACAGGGTATTTACAATTATGCGGTCATGATGACGTGAAAAGCAATATTTACGTGTATTCGTGTAATCGGTGATATATTCATGTGAATAAAAATTTAGTAGACTGACAATCAATTGTTTCCAAATTCATTTTATTGTCTTCAGTGGCCATTTTTGTTGCCCAAACTCAAACGATCGGAAAGGTCGCGCGTTGTTGTGATTGCAGCACATGTGATTGTCAACCATTTACCCCTTCAACATATTAAGATGGTTTAGCTCATCATGTCACATGTACAATGTTATGATGAACTTTGTCGAAAATACAAGCAAAAACATTGACTTTTCAAGAGAGAACTTTTTTTTTTCGTTGGGATATTAAATTGTGCAATGGATTTTATTCAACCAGAGGTGATTTCAAACACATAGGCAAGTTTTTAGTAACAATTATTCAGCAGTTTGTTCACAATCGGCGAAATCTGTTTATAATTTACCACGGTTCAGACAGTAGCTCCTTTATTAAATTATCATGATCAAGTGAAGGTGGTTACCCGCTAGGTTTGCGGTCCTCCTGCACTTACTAATAGATGGTATACACTATAGAGACAACTCATCCCAAAGACAACTCATCCCAATATAAGACAATTTATCCAAGATAAAAGATAACTCATCCCAACTTTAAAACATGGGTCGAGATTTAAGACAACTCATCCCAACAAATATACGTGCCAGTTATATTTGTTTTAATACCATTGCTTTCTTTGAAGACTACTCAGACCATTCTGATTTTGTTATAAAAATGTGTTATCTTAATAAAATTGATTTTGTTATCTTAATAAAATCAATATTGTTGTTTTAAATTTTAAGTTATTTTAAGTTTTGGGTGCTCTGTATACTTATACTAAAAGCGTAGACATTTCAATTCCATCTTTGAACCATACATGCAACTGAAAATGTTGGCCCCAGTCGTGCTGATTGTTTCCATATCACTGTCTGATAGAAATTCGTCAGAATATGACATTATATCCTTATCTTTATGTATGAGTTTCAGTAGTTACTCTAGTAACGAAATATGAGAGTCCTAGTACCTGGATTTCGTTACTACAGTAACTAGAGTTTCAGTATAGCTAATATCTTGGGATGAGTTGTCTTGTTTTAGGATGAGTTGTCTTTGGGATGAGTTGTCAGGTATTCTTATAGATAATGTCTATGCTGACACATAAATATACCTTGTAAAGTTGTTTCTAAAATAATACAAAGCAAGAACTAATATATTAGTATACGGGCAAGTTGCCTTGCATTAATTCACGGACCATAAATCATTTCGTGTCAAATTTGGCGCACTGTGATTCAGGGGGAATAACTCTCAATACATTTATCGCAAACTCGCAAACTCTCGCTTGTAACTTCCTTAGATACCAGACGCCATTTCCTGGCTTCACAACATTGAGTTACAGGTTTTTATGATCGATAACTTGTAGGCTATGGCATTCAGAACACAAATTATATTTTACACATCGGATGTTGAATAGTAGGCTAGGGAGAAGTAATCACTCGTGATTTTTATTGTTTGGTTGTAGGTTGCAGCATTTGGTTTGTTTTTTTTGCCAAAGAGGAGAACACAAGTGATAAGAAGTGAACGCTATCAACTTATCGAGCACACCACTTCAACGTTTGTTTTTTGGGACCTAGCTTTATATAAGTTTAGATACTACAAAAAAGAACAGGCAAAATGATGGTATCTCAAAGAATGCGGAAGACGCGTGAAGTTACGGGACCAACTCCACATTCTGTTGGAATAGTAAGTTTTGAACTAGGCCTATTTGGAGCTATTCCCGGATTTCTATTTTCTCGAGATAAGACTAAGACTAAGAGAGGGTAACCTAGTTCCTTCTGGCAGATGCAGTTTTGAATCATATTGGCATTCTCTAACTAAGCAAAACAGTAAATGTTTTCTTCAAGTTCAAAACAATGATTGAATGATCTATTTATTACGTTTCTGCACTTATCATTTCAAACAAAGCACAATCCTAGTACCAAATTTAATTAAAGTTACAATTTCATATTTTTAAGTTATATTTTTAAAATGTATTAAAATAAAGCCCTAAAATAGATGGTATCTATAAACAGTCCTACCTTGTTAAAGAATAATCCTATTAATCCTATAATTCACTAGGCCTATTGCCAGTTGAGAAATTGGCAAAAATATCATTTTCAACTTCAAATTCAAACGTTTGAAGAAAGCTATTCCATGGTGGGGAATAGGAAAACAAGGGAGGTAATTGTGTTATTATTTCCGGTGTGAAAATTTTTGAGTGTGAGAAAGATAACCTATGAGTATGATCGTATAATACTATTAATAGTGAGTTGACAACCTCTATTGAGCAAAAGACATAGAAATAAAAATTATGTTTTGACTTTCTTAGAAAATATGAAATTGTAACTTTAAGTTTGCCAGCTGGTGAAACTACTAAAGGTGCCCTATCGTTCTTGTAGCCAATATGACAGGGTTAGTGCCAGGCTGTCTGTCGACTGGTGGTGAACAAGATACGTGCATGCTGCCAAATGACTAGATAAGCTTCATTTTGTTTTCAATTGCAAATATCATGGTTTAGGAGGACTATCTGGGGTAACTTCGCACAATTGTGTTTGCTTGTGACAGGGATGTAGGGTACTGTACTATTAAGTGGAATTTTGAGAACTAGTTAGATTGCACTGTTTGCTTGCTGCTTTTGCCATGACATTTCCTGGAGTTGGACACAATTCATGACCTGGAACAATCATTCAGCTAGATTTTTTTTCTATTTAATCTAAACCTAATTTTGATACAAAATTCTCACAATATTTAATAAACCCTTGATTTTTTTCTTAACTCATGGTCATGGATTTTTTCTTAAAACGATAAGCTTACACATTTGAAAATTGGAGGAATAAAAGTATAATTAGATAATTACAGATGTATATCTATCAGATTAATTAATTTTTTGTAAAAAGCAGATAATCAATGTGTTATTCTACAAATTTATTCTTCTTACTTATAGTTGGCAAGAGCCCCAAATACACGACCCCCAGAGTACCTTATCCTAGAAAGACGAAAACAAGAAGAAAAGTTGGAGGAAAATCAAAAAATGACAAATTATATGGAACTTTGTGATTTGAAAAATGAATGGGAAAGATGGACCGATAAAAAAATTCAGTTGAATACTGTTAAGAGAAGACTGAATGGAATGCTACAGGCTAATGAATCTAGTATAGAAGATAGGAGAGAAAGGTATCGTAGTATTTATAAGCTTACATAAAAACCAAAATATCCAGTGATTCATGTCCTAGCTTTTACATAAAGTAGTCTTGATAACCCGAGAGAATTGTCGGTAGACTTGTTTAGCACTACTTATTTCAATTTTCAAACCAAATGCACATAACCTGTTTTCCACTTAAAATGCCTGCGTAGTGTCTGGTTGTTATTTACGATGGCAGTCTGTTTTTAATGAACTTTAAATGGTTATTATAGACTCTAATAAATGCAACATTGGCATGCATGGAAAGGAACCACCTACAGCAGAGTAGATGCAAATATGACCATGTATTACTATTAGTAAATAAAGACAAGATGTTAAATGTCATTTGTTTTCTTTTCATTTGTCCAGACTTTTGGTAATATACATGTAATGGGATTTTTAATGTATTGGTATAACATATGATTTACTACACCATGATTAATTTTAAGATGTGCTAAGTCTTTGATTTTTTGTTCAGACTTAGAGATTTATTACAAACAGAACAAATAGAACAACTGAAAGAAATGGATGATAAACAAGAAACAACTATTGAACGTCAAGCAAAAATGAGGTCCAGGGCAAAATATTTAAAAGAGCAAAGGGAAACAGAAAGATTGAAATTGGTTCAAAAAAAATATGACCAGAAATTCAGGTAAGCCAACTGCAGAAAAAGGTGGAAAATTGGTCTATTCATGTAGTGTATAGGCTCCATCTGAACAACTGTGACACATTTTCAAAGAAATACCAAGGTCCAGTGGAGTTGGAGACAAGTTTCTTGATTAGCATTGCACAATGACAACTTCCGGGTGTGCTTTCTTTTTTTTTCTTACCTCCTATTAACTGCTGCTGATGTAGTAGTGTGAATGATTCAACCAGGTATGGGGGTGCATTTTATAGGGCTGGTCCCGGTGAACGTGCAGCATGAGTTACATGAAAAGCATGGAGAACACATTACCATCTCAGAAGTCAGGTTGCGATTTTGAGAACATTTCCTGGGTTCAATTCTGTGTTTGGGAAGGAGCCTTATTTCTCAGGTAAAGTTGGAGATGTGGTCACAAATATACAATAAAAAGATTTGGCAAGTTTTATGAAATGCGTCTATTCAGAGTAACATACCAACCTGATGTTTCTTTTGCTGCTTAGTATAGTATAGTCACAAGATCTATAAAAATGTCACTAGATAACTCTTCAAAATCATCATAACCCATTATTTATTCAGAGAAGAGTGTGAAGAATTGAGGTCTACAGTATCAAAACGTGCGCAAGATCAAATCTGTGCTGAAAGATTGGAACAGATGCAGATGAAAGAACAATTTGAGGATGAGAAAAGAATAGAGGATGCCATGTATGCTGATTTATGGAATAAAGACATGTTGGAGAAAGCAGAAAAAGAAGAACGGAAGGCTAGAGAAAGACATGAACGTAATCAAGCTGTAGTAGATATCTTGCAGAAACAGATGGCAGCATTACAACTACAGAAAGATGAAGCTAAAAGACTCAAAGAGGAAGAAGCTCAGTTACTGGTAAGTTGCTACACAACTGGACCCAGTTTCTTGAAATCTTAACTAAAGATAAAATCCAAATTTTAGTAGATACTTCAATTTTGATTGGCTAAGCACTAAAATCAATTTAAAATTATCCAATCAAATTACTAAAATTTGGATTTTATCTTAGTTAAAATTTCGTGAAACAGCCCCCTGATTTTAATTATTTTTACCATTTGTAACCATGTGATAAATGGTGAAATCTTCAATAATTTGTAGAATTCTTTCTTGGTAATCAATTCCTTGAGCGGCGGATGCAGAGAGAGAGCGAGCTAGCACCTGAGATTCATTTTCAGTCTCTTCCAATACGAGGGTGTTGAGCATTCTAAAATGCCCATTTTTATCTGATTTAGTTTAAACTTGAAATGTATGATTATAACCCAAAGGTCTCAGTTCCTTTCTATATTCGTGCATATCGGAACGTAACTTCCTGAATTATGGCCCCTGATTGTACGAAAAATCGCGTTTTTAGCTTGTGGATCCTATAGAGGTCATAATTTTTATCCAATTTAAAAAAACGTATTATTATATTACCGTTACACCCTCAGGATGACTGAGTTCGAATTTCGTTAAAATCGGCCCAAAACTGACAGACAAAATGGCCGCCCTTCGTTCTCAAATAGCGTAAAAATATGGTATTTCAAGGTTGTGGACCCTAAAGAGGTCACAATTTTTTATCCAATTTTGTTGAAACTTGAAATGTAAGTTTATAACCCAAAGATCTCGGTTCTTTTCGATATTCGCGCATATCAGACCGTAACTTCCTGAATTATGGCCCCTGATTGTATGAAAAATCACTTTTTTTTTTAGCTTGTTCTCTATCCATCTCTCGAAAATGTGGGCGTATCCTGCCTGGCAGCCGCTGGTAAATCTAGCACTGTAATTTTTGTTCATAAAATATGACATTTTTTGCTATTTGGGGTAATAAACTACATATTAATCACCCCAAAAATACCAATTTTATTTACTAACTATGTTCCAAACTTGGCCCAAAAGCCGGATAATAAAGGCTGCTGATGACAACAAAAGACAAATTTTCTCAGTTATGCCTGTTTGCATTTTCATCAAATTTGGCATTAACAATGCTAATTGCAATTTCCAAAAAGCCCCTGAACAATTTTTGGCTGTAGACTGTGGTTTGTTTGGTATCCATGGAAATGCCTAAGAAGATGAATTTTCTTGGAAATTCTATTAGTACATACTAAAAAGAGATATTGCTAATCCCCTCCTTGGATCGAAAGTAGAGGTTATAGAGGTAACATGAACGTTATAAAATATCAACTCAAAGTATTTTAAAATCTTTGTTGATTACTTAGTAGATAAACAAGATTTGGTAATCTCTGGTAAATTCTTTGAATACATCCACAACAAGTTTTAAAATACAAAAATGCGAATGTAAAAAGTGCACTACTCAGCCGCTATAAAAATCAGTTTATACCATCCAAAAATGAAATTCAGCCATGTTCCAGTCACAATAGATCGTAGACCTGGATAATCGCGTCTTATAGAGGGAATTCATTCTGACGTCATATATAGATGGACGGCAATGATCCAGTGTGAAACTGCTGCTGAGGGCGGCCGTAATTGTTTACTACGGAGGACATGAACGGTGTGTTCGACGTCATTGTTTATTCAAGAACTGATCTAGGTCTTGGAAACCTTCTTGTTTGCTATAATTAGCTTTTTCTTTCCGCTTGTATCTCCATTATTACACAACAAACAGTCAGACTGTTATGTGTCCTCTGGGTTATTTTACACATGGAACAAGTGTGCAAAGTCTAAATAAAATTGGTGTTGAAAAGTTAGTGCATATCTTAGACTACTCAGTGCCCTTAGTACTAGAAATTATACCAGCAAAAAGAAAAAAGTTTCTTAGTTTCAATTTTTTTTACTTGATTTGTCTAACTTGAGCAGAATATACCTAAAAATGTTATTATAACTATATTAAAACTGAAATTGTAAAAAATAGCTATATTTATTAAAACCATTTAAAATTGTAATAACTATGTTCATGAAAACTAATTTTTCAGAAAGAACAAGACGCTCTACGTAAATTAGAAGAAAGAAGAGCATATGAGGATAAGATTCAAAGGCAGAGAGAAACAAGAGATATGTTAGATCTTTCATTGAAGATAAAGATGAAGCGAAGGGCTAAAGATGAACAGGAACAATTAGCATTTGATCTAAAGATGTTAGAACAGTTGTTAGAGGAATCTCGTAATGAAGCCATGGAACAAATGCAGAGAAAGGTAAATTTAAGAAAGTAATGAAAATTTTGACAGTGTGGAAATACTCTACTCTATCTGTACATAGAGTATATCTGTGACAATGTGATCAAGGTCATCATTTTTCCAATATTATTAAAGAAAATTTTGTTAACAAGTGTGTTAATATACTCTTCAAAAAAATTAGGGGATATTGAAATGCAAATACCTATGCAGGTTGTGATATGATAAATAGTCATGGACACTTGACATGCTTTGAGAGTATGTTCACAGATGAAGTACTTATCGCCCCAACAGAACCACTGAGCTGCACATGCGACACGCAATAGCGCCATACACGTGGGAGGGGTTCATTGTCATTTTTGACACTTCAAGGAAGGGTTTATGAAAACTGCCGCGTGCTGGTTTAGCTATCTATGTTAGCATTTCTATCGGTTCTTGCATAAGATTTACTGTTTAGCGTATCTTTATATTAGTGTGTTACGTTTAATTTGATCGGGAGACGTGTTCGTCAACATCAACCGACAACACTGCAAGAATTCGCCGTGGCACTGCAAGAGGAGTGGGTCAGATTGCCCCAAATCGTGATTGGACGGTTGATTAGGAGCCTGCCACGGCGAATTGCTGAATGTCTGAGGATTGGTGGAGCAATTACTCATTATTAAGACAAAAATCAAAAACGTCCATTTTCACTTTTGACGGTGTATCTCTTTGCCCCCATATGAACTGTTTATGTTCATGTGTAGGCAATTGGCCTGTTATAACATACACTGGTTACCTCTAACAAAAGCAGCAGTGCATTTCCGCAGTTTTGTATTGTTTCTGTGACTCTAGGTGAGAATAGCCTACAAGGAAGCATTGCAGGGCTCTACCTGTTCAACGCCATGTAAACAGCTAGTAATTAATATTTGTCAGCCTGTATAATCATACACTTAGTGTACCATAATTACCTACCTTTTAAATGTGTGTACATGTGTGGAATGTAAGAGAAGTAAGATTGTGAGTAGATTTGTAGCAATCTAGAGTGTTGTGATTATTTGAAGGATCTAGAAAGGTCCCATCATATAGCATCCCTAACACAACACTTGAATTACTCTCCCAAAAATATACAAAATATCAACTGACTTTTTTAATCCACTATGTTTTTTTTTTAATTTTTAGAAAGAATTACGAGAAGAGGATCAGCGTTATCGCACCTATTTACAACAGTTAATGGAAGAAGAAAGGAGAAAAGAAAAAGAATTAGATGCTCTATGTAATGAAGAAGTTGAGAAAACATGGCAGAAACGCTTGGAAGGATGGCGGCAAGAACGCTTAGCAAGAAAGAGATTATTAAATGATGTTTTGGCTGGTCGCGCTGAACAGATTAGAGATAGATGTAGGTTTCTAAAAAATATATTTTTAACCACAATATTTATGCCCGTAGATATCCTCAATGGAATTCAGATATAATGGAAGAAATAGTCTGATAATTTGATTCATGTTTTAAGCTGCGGTGACTTAGTCAGTAAGATGTTCACGTTGGGGGTACTTGGTTCAATCCTGGTTGTCGTCAGTGTCTAGTTGTTCTGGTGGGATGGATAAAAAACAAGGTCCTGTGTACACATTGATCTTCACGTAAAAGAAGCTTTGACAGAATTCAGTTGCTTTCCAGGCAAAATTTTCCTCATAGCACACTATCTTTATGAGCCCGGTTGGGCAGAAAAATAGGATGTTAAAACCCATGTCATTTAGTGCTGGGTATTGCCACTGAAGTCCCTAGATATGATACGTATTGAGATTCAGGTGCTATGATACGATTTGTATCCCTATTCATAACCAGGTCAATATTTACCAAGAACATCAGGATAAATGAATAATTGATATTTTAGTCCTGCCAATGATATTGATGTAGACCGAAAGAGTGTTTGTGTACAGGTTACTTACTGAATTCCATCATAGAACTAGACCCTGTTTTATTGTGTACAGTTTATTTTTTGTTTTTTTTACCTTTTAAAAAAAACCCCAACAAACAACTATATGAAAGGCACTCATTTATGCTCCCAAGTTTGCCAGAAAAAAATGACTGTGCTTTAAAAATATGACACTAGTTTTTATACGCTCAGATTTTCATGTGGACGTATATTGTCGTCGCCCCTGTCCGTCCGTCTGGACACAATTGTTTGTAAACACTCTACAGGTCACAATTTTTATCCGATTTCAATGAAACTTGAAATGTAGGTTTATCACCGTAAGATCTCGGTTCCTTTCGATATTGGCATGTATCGGACTGTAACTTCATGGATTATGACCCATAATCATAAAAATCACGTTTTTTAGCTTGTGAACACTGTAGAGGTCACAATTTTTATCCGATTTGGTTTAAACTTGAAATGTATGTTTATAACCCACAGATCTCGGTTCCTTTCGATATTTGCGCATATCGGACCATAACTTCCTGAATTATGGCCTCTGATTGTACGAAAAATCACGCTTTTAGCTTGTCCCTCTAGAGGTCACAATTAATATATCACCGTTACACCGTAATGTTTGATGAGTTCGAATTCCGTGAAAATCGGGCCAAAACTGCTGGACAAAATGGCCACCCCTCGTACGCAAATAGTATAAACATCTGGTAAATCTAGGTTGTGGACCCTCTAGAGGTCACAATTTTGATCCGATTTCGATGAAACTTGAAATACATGTTTATAACCCAAAGATATTGGTTCCTTTAGATCTTCGCGCATATCGGATCGTAACTTCCTGAATTATGTCCTGATTGAACAAAAAATCATGTTTTTAGCTTGTGGACCCCATAGAGGTCACAATTTTTATCCTAAAAAAACGTGTGAATATATCCCCATTACACACTAAGATCTTGGTTCCTTTTGATAATCGCAGATACCTGAACTTAACTTCCAGGATTATGGCCCCTGATTGTTCGAAAAATCGCATTTTTAGCTTGCAGATTCTCTAGAGGTCACAATTTTTTTCCGATTTTAAGAACTGTTTAAATACATCACCATTCCACCATAATGAAGGTTGAACTCTAATTTCGGGAAAATCGAAATGAAACTGCCCGACAAAATGGCCGCTCTTTGTACGCAAATTGTGTAGAAGTGTGTAATACAATGGTTGTGGACCCTCTAGAGGTCACAATTTTTATCTGATTTTGATGAAACTTGAAACATACCTTTATATCCCAAAGATCACTGTCCCTTTTGATATTTGCCCATTTCAGGCCATATCTTTCTGGATTATTGCCCCTGATTGTACAAAAAATCCTGTTTGTTTTTAGGTTTTTAGCTTGTTCTCTATCCATCTCTTGCAAAATGTGGGCGTAATTTTTAATGTTATCCAACAAAATGCCCCAAACCTTTAAATGATTTATGCCAAAATGTTCCCATTTATGTCACAGTAATTTGTTTGAAAATTAATTCATATTCTGTTATCTCTATTTTACAGTGATAGAAAATGAAAGACAACAGTTGGATGCTCAAAGAGAAAGAGATGAACTTATTCAAACTATTGAAAGAAACAAACAGTTGGATAAGGAGGAGTTACAGAGAATTCGACAGAAGAATTTACAATATCAGTCAGATCTGGAGGGTCAGATTGATTATAACTGTCGCTTAAAGGAACAAGATCGTCAGTATAATGATACAGAATATAAACTTGGTCTTCAAGCTGAATATGAATATGAGCAAAAAATTAGGGATGCTTTAAACAATCCAGTAATCGATAAATTACATCCCATGAGAAGAAGAGTTCAGTCGGCATCTTTACAAGTGACTGGGACAGGATATTAGTACGGTTTCTATTGTTTTTTGTGGGGTGTATGTTACTTGTACTTTAGGGATATTGTTTATTTATTTAAAACAGAATTTTATTTTAAAACTGTGATACTTGTATGAATATATCAATTAATGAAATTGATGTCTGTACATAATATATATATATATGTATATATATAATTGTGTCATGTGTTATAATTTTAAATGTTTAACTCAAAGAATATATTATAAATATTGTGATAAATGATAATAAGTTGTTGACAAGCATTACAATATGGTTCTCTTCAGTTCACATACAGTTCTAAGCATTATAATATGGTTCTCTTTAGATCACATACAGTTTTAAGCATTATAACTATGGTTCTCTTTAGATCACATATAGTTCTAAGCGTTTTAATATGGGTCTCTTTAGATCACATGTAGTTCTAAGCATTATTTAACAGACTTCCTGATTATGAATGAGATCAATAATATTATATATTTACAAAGCATTAATGTTGTGGGAATAGAATATGGCAAGGTTTTTTTTTCAAAATGGGTTAAACCCATATAATAATTTTCAGTAAAAGAGACAGGTTGGGGGTTTTTTTTCCCCATGTCCAGCACATATCCATGTAGATTTTGACTGTTATTTATATTTTAAGTATTTATATGGTGAATACATCTGAACATCTGTCACTTTAAATATTTGAAGTCGTAATAATAAGAATAGAAATTATGACTATGCCACTGGTTGTGATAATATAATGTGTAGATTTGTTGTATCATTCGTTAATAATCAAATATCAACAGCATTGAAAATAAAACTGAATGATAATCTGTGTGTAATTCATCACTTTTGTTTGCTGGAAATAAGGTAGTGCAAATTAATTTTCAGCAGAGCTGGTTCACCATTAATTTTCACCAGTACCCACGATTTGTAGTGTCTATATAGCAATTCTCTCTCACTCCCTTTTTATATGGACATTTTCGTTGATTATTGGCCGATCTAGAAGACGGTTTGAATTAATATTTTCTGCCAGGTTTTGGTAAATATTCATGGTTTTGAGGTGGAATGGTAACAGAGTTAGGATGTTGGTTACTGTGATATGTACAGCGGATATTTACATGTTTATAGTATGCTACTTCAAGCTTGTGTATCTCAATATTTCATTGGTCAACCAAATACAAACATTGTAGCAAAGACATGACAAGGTGTTGCTCTGGCTGTAGTTAAAAGCCTTCAAAAGTTTTAGATAAAGAGCTGGCTGTTTTTGCTAAAATAGTTCCAAAATAAATAATTCAAAATTAATAAACTACCAGGCAAAAGAAAGTTGACACTCGGTGTACATGTTCCTTAAAGAAGACAGTTTTAATATAATAGCATGTGTGGCCGCAATGGGCATCAATACATGTCAAAACACCTCTCATAAATGTCAGCCGTCTTTTGATGTCATTGGGAATCATTTGCCATTCTTGCAATAAAGCTGATGTCAGTTTGCGGGAGGTCTCAGTTGCCGATCAAGATAATCCCAGAGGTGCTCTATTGGGTTCATGTCGGGAGAACATGCTGGCCAAGGTAATGTGTGGAGGTTAACATTGTTTAAATAATATTTACGGTATGTGGTTGGGCATTATTATGCTGCAAAATGGTAACCCTGTGTTGTTTTGCATGAATGGCACAGCCACAGGTTGCAGAAATTCATCTCTGTATCTTTGGTCAGTCAGGTTTCCACAGATAACAAGCTTTGCTCTCTGCTGTTCACAAATCCCTCCCACACAAATCCCTCAACCATAAGGATGAACATCTTGAGTGCAGTGATAAATAGGAACCCGGTCATTTCTGAACAGGTTGAAGTGACTTTCATCTGTAAAGAACACACATTACATATAACGCCCCTGTCGAGCTATTAAAGTAACCTGCGCTGAAGGTGTTAAGGGCCCAAGATCATTTCCTCGAAAGCCAAAATAAAAACCTTCAATAGGAAGATTTAGCTCTTACATAATGCATCTTTAAAGTCAATGGGGAAATAATTAAATGGGGGTCTGCCTCCAAATTAAATTTTATGAAATTGGAGTAGTGTCCCTTATAACGTCCGACATAACATTGTTATAAAGACAATCCCAATTCTGCAATGTGCAAAACTTAGGTGGATCACTTTTGTGATGAAATAATTCAGACTCCAGATTTCAAAGAAATATGTAAAAGTTATATCATTTAATGAAAGTTCAGAATAAAAATTACCGTAATAATTACGACTTCTAAAGACAGGGGGATCACGTGGCTAAGACGTTGGCTCGCTAGCCTGGAGGTCGGGTGTTCGATCCCTGCATTGGCCGAGAAAGTTCATCCAGATTTTCCTGCGTGGTTTCCCCTTGTCAGTGATGCAGGACGGAGCGCCTGACAAGGACAGCTGTCTAGTCGTTCGGACTGGACGAAAAACCGAGGTTCCGTGTACACATTGGCGTGCACGTAAAAGATCCCTTGGCAGTTGGAATTCGATATAAGAGTAGGCCGTAGAGCCGCTGCCCGTAACCCTAACCCTACCCCGGCAATGTACACACATGACTGGTATATTTCAGGCATTGTACACATTGCCTGATTGTAGACATTGACTGTCACATATATATTGCTAATCAAAATTGAAGTATCTGCTGAAATTGGATTTTATCTTTAGTTAAGATTTCGAGAAACACGGCCCTGTACTATACGATCTATGATAAATACATGTATTGCTATGAATACACCGTAGACATACTAATAATGAACCCCGCCTTGTAATAAACATTGTTTATAGTATTAATTATAAAAATAAATATATTGGTAAATTGTTCAGTATCTCATCGTAACTCACAGTGAACATATACTTATAACACAGTTTGGAATACACAATGGTTAGACGTGTGTATATATGTTATTTTCTACTAACTGAGCCAAAGTCTCAAACTCTTTTTTCTCATTTCTCAGATCCAGTAAATCGGCCTTGTTGTGGTTTTCTGCAGATAAATTCCAACAATGAAATTTCTGTATTTACACCCGTCATAATCGAAATGGTTTGGGTTTTTTTCATCCGAAATAATTTGCCTGATAAGGACGAGAATAAAATCGTCGAAACGTCCCTATAGCAAAAGACACCACTAATTATTATGAATATAAATGTGTTACGTTCGGTAATGAATTTAAAAATAAAGACCGTTCAAATAACATGACAGAGAATGCATGTATCAATAGTATAAGAACATGCCGTGAGTATGTATTTCCAAGTCATAATAATAACTCCAGAACAAAATGTCTGCTCGAAGCGCTAACAAAATTAAGTTGATCTGTAAGAACTGTCAAACAGAATAGGTCTTTAAACGTGATTTAAATGTAGGTTAGTGGCGGGGAAGATTTGAGAGATACGGGTAGTGAATTCCACTTAATTGAAGCTGCGACTTCCAATTAAGGACTTGAATCCAAATGATTTCAATTTCCATGTAGGCACAACTAAGTTAAGTTGAGACTGAGATCTAAATTTTCTTGGTTGGTAAAGTCTGAAAATATCTTTCAAGTATGCAGGATCGGTTCCATTTAAACAGCGATACACAATAGATAGAATTTTAAAGTCAATTTTTTCAGCGATACGGGTGGATACCAATGAAGTGATTTTAATGCAGGGATTATAGCTACTTTAGTAACGAATTCTTGCCGAATTCTTACTGGCAGAGTCGATAAGAATTCGTTACTAAAGTATCTAGGGTTATACGTACATAACTTAGCGTCCGATCAACAATCAGTGAAATTCGCTAAGAACTAAAATGTTTACATTGACTTCTCTCATAGTGTATTATATATTCATCATCACACCTAACTACAATCTGATTAAAATACAGATCTTTATTTCGTTTCGTTTTTTTTATACTTCCGATGGCCTGCACTACATGAAGATCTGACAAGTTGTACTGGAAGGTCGTGGCAGGGGTCGTACGAGTGGCTTATCAATCAGCATTGACGTTTCTAGTGGTTTACCCACAGTTCCGTGCATGGCACGCCAAGAAGTCGTCGAAACCGACCGTTTCATTGGCTAACCCCTCACTTCAACCAAAACAACGGTAATATAGCAACTCTTCCAGATCCTAGTGTAGTAAAGACAAGTAAAATGAAATTTTGAACTATAAAAAACGAAACGAAATAGAATCTGTGTTTTATTCAGATTGACCTAATTAATAGTGAAATTAGACATGTACTACCACAACAATCTGAATCGAAATCGGTCATTGTATAAAATAGTAATCTGGCTGTGACGAGGGATTTTTGTTGAGGGGCCATATAGTCCCTACATTATAAGAGCAAAATGTGAATTGCATGCAGTTTATAATCAAATTTCGCACCGGTCAAAACGATGAATCAGCTGATGGTAAAAGCCCCAGTCACAGCCGCGAGATTAATATCACATAATAGCCGTAGTAAAATCTCGAAAAATGAAGGTAAGTAGCACTTAGCGGAGCGAATTTTCTGAAGTTTGCCAACTTATAGACTCCCTGGATCAGAATTGTGTGATTTTCTAAAATGGTCAGTAAAAGTCCCCGATTTCGGACACTTCCTTTTGCGGGATGGAATAATTTTCATATTTTTCCTTACATTTATATCAACTAAAAGTTTTATTTTTTTCATCATCCACTGCCCGAAGAATTTGAGAATAAGAAAGCCCTTTAAAAACAGTAGTCGTCAGATTTAATCCCACATCTAAAGACCCCTACGCGCAAGCGAATTGTTAAATTAACATTGAAAAATATGTTAGTTCCGAAATGACCTAGTCTGTGTCGAGTGAACGTTGAACCCCATTTTTCTCTAACTCCCCCTAGCTATAGCACTGACGGACTGATGGTGGTTGATATCATGGACCTTATAATACATGGACATATATACGCGTATAAAACACAATTCCCAGTGGCAATGATATATTCCAGAAGTTTATCTTTTAGAGTAATACAAATTAATAAAATTGTATGAGATAAGGACAAATTCTTATGTCGAAGTAAACTGTTTTTATTCCGCCGGTATTCCGATACTATTTGGATTATTACGAGTGAGATATACATGTAAGCTTGATTAAAATTACCGTTGTCTTATTTGTAAATATTATTTGTCATATGGTTATAAATATATGTACATGTTTATATTGTATGCTGTCCTAAATGGATGTATCGATACAATAAAATCTTATCTTATCTTATCAGAGGTCTGTCATTGAGTCAACTTACGTTGTTTCTATTCCCAGTTGTACGTAACAAGGAGTAGGGTCGCATATGTCCAACCACGCGTGTGTTTTCCGGGTCCTCCGGTTTCCTCCCACTGCTAAAGACCCCTAGTTTTACGCGCAAGCGAATTACTAAAATAAAATTGAACCATATGATGGACCCGAAATGACCTAGTTTGTGTTGAGTGGACATTAAACCACATTTCCCTCTCTCTATATTACGAGTGAAATTATGCGTATAAAAATACATAGCAAATGAAAACAATTCCCAGTGGTATTAAATGCAGAATTTTCTCTTTTAGAGTAACGGAAATATATAGCTATTATTAAGGTCCGTGATTGTATATATGGAGATATGGAAGAATTCTTATGTCGATAAAAAACTGTTTTTATTCCGCTGGTACCCATAATGTTCCGTTACTATTTGGATTATTACGTAGATAAGCTAACCGTATCCTTGTAGCCCGGACCTACTAGTCCTATACATGTTTCACAACATTCTCAGGTATTCACGCACCTGACGGGAACAGTTATTGTTTAGTTGGGTACACATCAGATTCATACGTATATTCACCCAATTTATCTAAAATCTTAATCTTTAGGACTTGACAAGATGACAAATTCTTCACCAATGCATTTTATTTAGGGCATATTATACATATTTCATCTTTTTATTCATGTATTTAAAAAGAATATTAGATATAAGCTGACGAATAACAATTACAGCTCCTCCAATAAGCAACGTCGATTGTCTACAGGATTTGCATATCAAGATGGCGGTGTTCATAAAGTTAGTGGTTGTATCAAGATGTTAATGACTAATAAATGTGTAAGTATATGTTTGTAATAGTAAACATAATACCATAACAGATATAAACTCACATTTATATTAGAATGGGTGGTCAGTGCTTATTTTGGAAAGCGAAAACCATCAGTTCTCCTGTAAATCTTGTTCAGTGTCGAAGACCTATTTTTAATCACGTTCATTGACTTCGCGGCTCATGTGATCGTGTTGTCAATATAAATGCTTATATATTGTGAAATAGTAAATTTGAATATGAAACTCAGATTTAAAATCGATTTTACAATTCATTATGAATAGACCAACGGTCCGAGTACTTTTTACCTGTAAGATTTGTTGTAGGAAAGAAATGAAGAATTGATTACCGGTCCCTTTACTATGACATTTGTTCAGATGCACAGTTATTGAGTTATCATATATTTCATAAGACAAAAACATATATTTTCTTAATCATACTTAATGTCTGTCAGTTCTATGTTTAATTTACCACCCTTTTATAATTTTTTAAGATTCAAACTGTATAATATTTGGTATAGAATATTACCATACCAAAATATATAGGCTAACCCAAATTGGATAGTAAGATAATATCTGATGATAATCAGTCATCTTAATTGACTATGAGCTATTGTAGAATATTATCCATCTTTCTGATCAACACTTTGAGACTTTGTATATATTTCTAGGCATAATTTATATGTACATGTATTTTTACTGGTTTATAATACCAGTAGTATGAATTATAGTGTTGAGCATAAGGCAGGACAATATATATGCTATTTCTTTCTGAAACAACCTATTTATGAAAGACATGCTCTGTTGAAGATTCATGTAGTTCACAATTTTGTGTTTATCTTGATATTCAGTTTAAATCTGGTACTTTGTTTAGTTTTTGTATGTTTGTCTTTTGGCCTCTCTCTTTGACATTTTGGTTTGTCTGTGCCCTGTTATGAATGAGATATAATATCCCTCCTAATTAACTGAAATTTATAACAACTATATACTTTATTTAGGATATCATCCAATAAAATTGTTTTACACAGAATATAGGCCTGCATAGAAACCGACTATTATATTTTTGATCCAGTTCAAAGTTATCTAGTCATTTGAAGTTTATTGTCCGACATTAAATATCTTAAATTGCACAGGCACCACGTACATTGACAGCATTTCTGTTACTTTGTGAATTCAGCTGAGTGTATCGACAAGTACCATGTTTTGTCCAGGGCTATTGATCACACTGGTTTCTCACATAATATTGTATCCTTCAACACCTTCATGGAATGCACAACCATTTTTATACGCCCACATTGAAATGTGGTCGTATATTGTCGTCGCCCTTGTCCGTCCGTCCGTCCGTCCGGCGTCCACAATTGCTTGTGGACGCTCTAGAGGCTACAGTTAATATCCGATTGACTTTAAATTTATACACAGTGTTTAAGGTCATGAGACGAAGAAGCCTATTGATTTTCAGCAATTTCCGATAATTACTGCCAGAGTTATGGCCCTTGATCACTTCAAAAAATCTTGTAGACGCTCTAGAGGCCAAAATTAATATCCGATTGACTTTAAATTTATACACAGTGTTTAAGGTCATGAGACGAGGAAGCCTATTGATTTTCAGCAATTTACGATAATTACTGCCAGAGTTGTGGCCCTTGATCACTTTGAAAAATCTTGTGGCCGCTCTAGAGGCCAAAGTTAATATCCGATTAACTTCAGATTGATACACAGAGTTTAAGATCTTGAGGCGAACAAGTATATTGATTTTCAATGAATTTTTATGACTTGGAACAGCTAAATCCATGATACAGTATTAAAAGTTTTGTATACAAAACATTAGCATGGGGCAGAACTTTATAAAAACCAAACAAATTCTAATGGTTTTCTGAGTTGTTGCTCTTAATCAGATTTTAGTGTATTATAAATGTTTCATTACCGAAAAAAGTAAAAATATGCGACAACTCTTGTTGACTGCCCGGACGATTTAGCTGCTGTGGGCGTATGTTTCGTTGCCTGGCAACCCATCTTTACCCATTTAATTGAAATGTAATGTTTGGACACTCTTGACTTACAGTTTAAAATCTATGACGTTATTCATTTCTTGTCATTGTGAAAGAAAACCTATGTTGAACTATTTGAATTTGTGGTATGGAAGGTTTCTATTGTCAGACACTTCCAATACAATGGCTAAGAAAGCAAGTCAAGCATCAGAAAGACAGCTGTTGATATATATGGAAAAAAAATACATACTTTGAACCTGTACTTACTGTATTTGAGAAAACAGAAGTATATTATTACTATATTGATGTGTTTTTATACGCCCACATTGGAAATGTGGTCGTATATTGCCGTCGCCCCCGTCCGTACGTGCGTCCGTCGTCCATAATTTCTTGTGAACACTCTACAGACCCCATTTATTATCTGATTGTTTTGAAATTGATATATGTTGTTGATATTAGGAAGATGAAGAAGCCTATTGATTTTCAGCGATTTCTGATAATTACTGCCAGAGTTATGACCCTTGATCACTTTGAAAAATCTTGTGAACGCTCTAGATTGTAAAGTTAATATCTGATTGACTTTAAATTTATACTCAATGTTTAAGGTCATGAGACGAAGAAGCCTATTAATTTTCAACGATATCCGATAATTACTGCCAGAATTATGGCCCTTGATCACTTTGAAATATCTTGCGGACGCTCTAGAGCCTAAAGTTAATATCCGATTGACTTTAGATTTATACACAGTATTTAAGGTCATGAGGTGAAAAAGCCTATTGATTTTCAACGATTTCCAATAATTACTGCCAGAGTTATGGACCTTGATCACTTTGAAATATCTTGTGGATACTCTAGAGACCAAAGTTATCATTCAATTGACTTTAGATTGATAAACAGAGTTTAAGGTTTTGAGACGAACAAGTATATTGATTTTCAATGAATTTTGATAACTTAACAGCTAAATCCATGATATTAAATGTTTCGTATTTAACGTTAGCATTGGGCAGAACTAAAAGCCAAACAAATTCTAATGATTTTCTGATAATAACTTGATAAGTTGTTACTCTTAATCAGATTTTAGTGTATGATAATGTTTTATTACCGACAATAGGAAAAATATGTGACAACTCTTGTTGACTGCTGTTGTGGGCGTATGTTTTGTTGCCTGGCAACCTATCTTTATGTCTATAATTCAAACTCTATTATGTTGATGGTGGAAATTCTTGATATCAAAATGGACATGCTTTTTAAAGATACATTCCCGGGTACAAACTGAGTGATTTGATGATATATTTGGAATAAAAACATATTCAAACTAATTAATTTATCATAATTTTGCTTCAAATCCTTCTCAAAACATTGCAATTGTCAGGGAATACCTGGCTATAAAAACTTGATCAAAAGAGGTCATGTTTGTGTCACGTGACACAACGGGTGCGATGTCGGAGGAGAATTCATTGCATACAAAAGATGATGTTGCCTTAATCACTGACTATTTATTACAAATATCGAAGCCTAATTAAATTCTCGGATTATCCACTGCCCGCTTCTTTTTCTGTGATTTTTATCTCAGAAAGTGTACGTCTCACTCTTCATAAAGTTTATCAACATGTACATCAAGCGTGCAGACACTCCTAATTGTCGGGCTGTCGATTAGGGAAACACGTACATTTTTGTCCTGTATGCGCTCCATGAGTGTTTTTCAGGGAATCCATTATTTTTCTAGTAAGATGTGATATTTCTACTTTCCATATATACCAAAATTGCCATATTTTTATTGGAAATAACCATCCGATAAATACTTTTCTGGGAACGTAGCTTTAAGGTGACATTTTAACTTGAACAAATTTAATTGATCACCATCTGAATATATTTACTTGAAGGCCAGTGATCTCAACCATAATAATTTCTATTGCTGGCAATTTGAATATTATTCTTACTGGATTTTAAGCAAGAATCATTAAATCCCAATCCAAAAGTAAGCCATGGATGCCATAAATTTTTTTTTTTTTTAAACATAATTAGACCTGTTTACATCATTTGGAGTCACAAAAATATTTTTATACATCCACTTTTTCATGTTGATGTATTATGGCGTCACCCCTGTTCGTCCGGATGTCCACAATTTGTTCGTGGACACTCTACAGGTCACAATTTATCCGATTTTGGACGAAACTTAAAATAGAGGTCTATCTCCCAAAGATCTCGGTTTCTTTTGATATTGGCATGTATCAGACCATAACTTTAAGTAGATTAGAATGGTTCGGCCATTTAATTATTTAATTTAAAAATGGACAACCAGTACGTTGGTTAGGATAATAAATAATCAATGCACACATCTTGACAAAACTACAAACATTGATAACATCGCTCAGAATAAAGTAATTTGAATGAAATTTTCAATATATTCATTTTGCAGTATCTAGTTTTGAACTATTATAGCAAGAACGACCAGCTCTTTGTCCAAATCTTACATAATACTCCTTTCAAATGCAAATTTGAGAAATTGATGTTTGAATATTAAAGAGTTATTACCATCACTGTTGAAGAAAATTATCAAAATTGATTTTATTATGCAACTGATAACACAAACTGTCACTTCTTGTAACCTAATTTGATTGGCTTCTTTGGTTAATCTTGAGTAAGGATTGCGTAATAAGGTGTTGTAATTTGTACAACTGTAAAACAAAGGTGTGTGGATGATATGTGAAGAGTTTTATACTTGGCGCAGGGGAAAAGAAACCTCCCATGTTTGACAGGTTGATAAAAACACTAAGGTAAACATTATTCAAAAAATAATTTAATGATTAAGAGAAAGGATACAGTTTCTTTTGATTTACAAATGAAATCCTCCAAATGGTTGCCTCCAATTACAATACATTTTCACTGTTGTACCGATAGTCGATTTCTGAAAGAAAAACATCGGTAAGACATTATTAGCTACATGTACATGTACATGATCACATTATTACCACCTGCCTAATTGCATTAGGTTAACTACAAGTACTAGATCTGCTTGATCATTTCATATGTAAACTATTTTATTAGAGGATAGCCTGACTCTGGTTGTTAAATACAGTGGATAAAACTCAAAGATAATAATTTTGATAATCAAAATCATTTGAATTATTGTACTTGACTTGTGGTGTTTGTAAATTAGAATTCTACTGTGCATAGAAATAGCAATCTCAATAAGAAAACTAGAACTGTGATGCAGTAATGACGGGTTTCACCAGTTCCATGTTACCATTGAACTTATGTCACTTCCGGTGCCACATTACCTGTGAACTCATTTCACTTCCGGTACCAATGAAACCGTTAAACAGATTTCCACATTAGCATTGCACACGTGTTATAAAATGGATGCGGAATCAACCAAATCCAGCAACATCAATTCCATTTATACATTTGTTACCATGTGTTAGATACATGTACATGTATGTCAAAAAAGTGATCCTGACAAAATTTGTTACTAACTTACCGCTAACTTAGCTGGCTATCTAATGTGATTTTAAAATAAGAAAAAAATCTTAAAAGTGATCCTGACAAAATTGGTTAGATGTCGACAAGGGAAGACACTAGAAGCTATTTGTGGACATCTATACAATTGTATTGATCCAATCTATATGTCACTTGGAATCATAACGATTAATAAATATAACGCACTTTAAAAAAATATCATTTTAAGGCAATATTGTTTTGAAGGCTAAAAATACAGTTTTTGCCAAAATGACATTACTTTCGGTGATAATGAAAATGTTAAATTAGTTCTACGAAATCAGAAATGGCATAAGGCATCACATGGTGAAAATTTTATAAAAATCGAATAATAATTGACACTTTTATGGACCAAAAACCATGAAAAGTGACTTGTAGAAAATCATCTATTCCTCGGCAACTGAACAAGTTATAAACCATTTTGTGGTATCTGTATAATCATTTGGGTTCATTCTATTTTTTGATTGGAATCAAATATCATAATTTTACACAAATAACAAATATGACTCATTTGAATAAAATATTTGTTTTCAAGGCTAAAAATTCAGTTATTGCCCTAATGACATCACTTCCGGTGACAGTGAAAGTGTTAAAATGGTTTGACCTAGTCAAATGTGGCATTAGACATCAAATGGTAAAAGAAAATTGAAAATCAAATAATACTTCATGCTTTTACAGGCAATATTAGAAACAAATTTCGACATATATTTTCTTTGTATGGGTTATTGCTATGTGTTTATGAAAGTTACAAAGAAATATATCAAAATATGAAGACGCTGGATTGGTTGTAAATAGCTTATTTTTACACCTTTTTTCACTTTTAATCAAAAAGGTCCGAAAACGAAATTGAAATTAAAGAAAATGAGTCCGAGATTATGTGCCCCTTTACAGGTTGCATCTTTTTGGCAATAACAGATTTGAAAAAAAATGATATTTGCTTTCAAAAAGTGGTACCGAACTGCCCAAATTGTAGTTTTTGCTAAATTTAGTCACTTCCGGTGCCGACAGGAAACTTTACCGGTAACAAAAAAATTGACCTCTTGAACAACGGAGCATTTGAACTTTGTTTTATACAAATCAAACAATAAATAATTAATCAAAGACTGAAAAACTGAATTAGCCAATGGCGGCCAAGGAAAATTACGGAAACAAAAAATGTTGACATTTTTGCTCAAATCAGATAACTCTTTAACCCTGGGTAAAATCCATATAAAAATATTCATAAATAAAAATTTTTTGTAAAATTTTAAATTTTCTAAATTTGGCGCTTAATATCTTCGAAGATTTGTTGACAAAGAAAAATAAAAAGTATCGCAGCTATGTGTCTTGACTCTGGCTATGTCAAAATGCATCATATGATAAAATCCCATGATTACTGTTAACACTACGGCATCTTTTTTAAAAAAAAAAGACAACTTCAGTGATTTCGGACATTTCGCATTGTCACAGAACGCCTGAAACAGCTTTAATCTCTAAGTCACACCCACTTTCCTCTTTAAACCGAAGAAATCGTATCGATCTGACATGTAGTTTCTGAGATACAATCAAATTGGAAAAAATAATAATAAGAATAATCTTAAAGAAAACAATAGTGTTTCACACAAGCTAAGCAGTGTGAAACCCTAATAATTGCTGTGATAATCTGTTGCAGTACTTAGTTACATTCATGTACGATTTTATGATGTAACACATTGTGATCTTTGATTGTGTCACTAACAGATCTCTGATTAAAGGTGAGCTGGAACAGTAGCACCTACGGTAGAATCTTTCATGATTATTTTTCTTTTTTCGTAGAAGATAAAAACAGATCATGAGCAATCTTCTTTAATATAAGTGACTTAAGATAATCACTTTCCACAAAATTTTGGCAAGTATATAGATACATGTAAGTAATTTGGCGACACATCACCAAACCCCACTTTGAAGCTAAAATGATACTGTATTCACTGAAAAAGAAGCATCAGATCTTTAAATAGTTGCACAGGATGAGGATAAAGATCTTTTTGACATACATGTACATGTAACTAATGAAATTTTATTCTCTGTAATTAAGGTATACCGGTATTTGAGGCATCTCCTGTAAGTTCATAAGTGAAATTTACTTTTCCCTTGTGTCTTGCTCAGAATTACAAAATAATATGTACCTGTAAATAAAAGGAGGTATATGTACTTGTTAAAAATTATCTAGAACACTGTGTATGCATGTTTTGATTTATAAAATCAATTTTAGTTTGTGTAATTAATTTGAATACCATTTGTTATATATTACAGAACAGTAAAATAAGTATTATGTACATTGTGTGTTTTAATGTACATGTATTGTAACAGATGGACTATTACCAACAAATTTTATTCTATAATACAGCTTTTACACAAGGTAGTTCTTCTGCTTCTTCTTTAAATTTTAGACACATATTTAAAGAAATAGCAAATCGCGTAAAAAAAAATATTGGGATTGTTATTAAAGATTATGAAGTCTCAGATTAAATGCTAACCCTATAATCTAAGCATGTGTTGCATAATTTTTTCACCATGTTAATGATAATCTAAATGTTATTACATGGGTTTCTTTAATTCTTTTTTAAAGTGTAAATGATTAAACATGAAGGCATGTTGGAAGAAAGAAAAGCCTCCAGGTATGTCAAATTTTATTATTGTTTGTTTTTTTTTGTTTTTTAATTTTGTAGATTATGATTAATTGATTTCTGTAAATAGGTAGTTATTTGGATGTTCTTTTAAAATTACATACACCACAGTTAACACTGTAACCCAGGTATCATTTAATCTTGTGTATCTAGCACTAATTTCTTTCACATTTGTTTAATATCAAATCTTTGTTTAAAAATTGTTTAAAATCACCAAAAATCATCTAATTTGTACTTGTGTCCAGTTTAAAGCTGACTTATTAATTTTGATAATGAGTGTCCAGTTTACAAGTATTTAATTTCCTGATCATTATACATCATTATACATCATTAATCAATTGGGTTGTTTATTTTTTTAACAGAGATTGAGAAATTAAACACATGTAAATTGGACACTCATTATCAAAATTGAATGGTCAGTTTTAAACTGGACAGAAGTACAAATTAAACGATTTATCGTGATTTTAAACAGTTTTTACGAATTTTCAAACAAAGATTGGATATTAAACGAATGTGAAAGAAATTAGTGCTAGATACATAAGATTAAATGATACCTGGGTTACAGTGTATGGAAGGATAAGGACTGTATTAAGGTATTTTTTTCTAAATAAGAAAGAAAACCAAGTAGGCTGGTACAAAATAATGATTATCCGTCATTGAGAAAAATCTTATTTTATTTTTATGCCAGTATTGGCTTGTTTGGGATTTATCTATTCTGATAATAGGATGAGTGTTATAAGGAGAAAATTGTGTCTGTGAATTTTGACATTTAGCTGATTTGTCGATTCAAAATAGGATATTTTCTATCATGATTTTGAAACCCTTGTGACACTATGTGATGGTTCAGAATTAAATCTTTGATTTGTTATTTCAATATCTTATTCCTCCTTATGTGAGGAATTATAGGAAAACTGTCACTTGCAAACCCAGCTTCCTAGCTGCCTTGTATACTTAACTTCCTTCTGTCTGTTCTAACAGATATGAGAACACAGCACTCAGCAGACAGTTTCTAAACTATTAGTTCTCCTACCACTTCATATTCCTATAACCTTGTCGCTATAGGTTTTTATTCCTGATTTGTGAATATTGAACAATGCCAGGGTCATTTCCATCCATGTGATCTAGTTTGGAACTGGACTTAGGCAGTGGTTAGTCAGTCTTGTTAAAACTATTAGCTTATTAGTCAGCATGGTTCTACATGTATCTGAGGATCGTAAAGTATTTATGTGTTAATAGATTTTGGTGTGTTATTATAATGGGAGTAAGATCTAATCTAATTTGACTGATAGATGTCATAATCTGAAAAACTAGATTACTAGAATAGCAATGCCAGTATCGACAAAAACAGGAAATAAGGCCATTTAAAATGTCTGTTGGTATACAGCAGGAGGATTCTTCGAGCTTTGAAAGTAGAAAGGGTGAGCAATAGAAAACATCCCTTTTCATTATTTCTTTTTAATTTCTAGCTCTGTAGTGAAATTATTTGTTGCAGCTCTACTTGAACAAGTAGATTTCAAATTTTGGAAATTCATTGTTATCACTTGGGTGGCACTGGTAGGGTGACCTGTGCATTGAAAATTTTCCGTACAGAAAGTTGGACTCACAAGGCAAATGTGCATGCTTCAGTGGCTTGTCTCAAAGTGATTTCTCGCTAACTACGCAGTATGATAATACTCAGCGCTAGAGTCTTAAAACTATAAATAGCCACCCCACGTGCAATTCTCTACACATCTACATGTATCAACTACTACAGCCGTAAAAAATCTATTGTTGACGATTCTGAATAGCAGTGATATTTAGCTTTTTGGTTATTACAACAGCTTTAGAAATTACCTTTGTTTTAATTTTTAAATTGCTTTATCATTAACTGTACCATTAGGAGCGGCATCTTTTGGTTTAGTACAAATAATATCTCTGAAACACTTGCGTTGGGCAAGAACATGATACTAGAGCAGTAGTTTCATTTTTACTTTTACAAGGTTCTTAAAACAATTGCTGAGTTGCCTAACGTGCGTGTTTCTAAATTTAATTTCTTGTTCCAGCTTTCTGTTATGTTTCGTAAAAAAGTAGTCTTGATTATCCCGGCCTGTCAATCAGACGTAGAATGGTCGGTAGACTGGTTAAGTGAGACTAATTTCAAAACAAGGGCGCGTAACCTATTTTTTACTCACACGTGCCTGGATGTTCAGGTTGACACTCGTAACCATCTTTCAGTGTATTATTTATGGATGGTTAAATGGTCATAGCTTATTAAGTACAACATGACCGTTTATTTAGTGGCTATAAATGTGCGAAACTGATTTAAGACTTGGTGTATATATAAATATTGTGGTGTAATTGTCGAGATATTTGGAAATATTTATTTATGGTGGGTCACCCTAGCACTGGGACTAGACTCACAATTCAAATGTTTCACATTTGAATTCTTGGGTCATACAAAGAGATTTTTAGGCCCAGGTCCCATTTAAATTATCAAGACTGATGATGAAAATTTTATGGTACACTCCTAGGACTAAGTCGAAAAACGGATATATTTTTTGAAGAAGGTACAAAATGTACCTAAAGTAGGGATTCAAAGAAGAGTACATGTAGGTATGAATGCTGCTCTCCTGGCAAAATTCTCCTTCATCTTATTGTCTACATAATTATAGAAATAAATATAGTATATGGATCTAAATTTAAATGATTATTTCTAACAAATAATGTTTATAATGGCATCTACTTGTCTTCTATTGATTTTTTCATACTTGCACTATACATGTACATGTGATAGTTATTTGTTTTTATAAGTGTCTGATACTAATGAATTTCAAGATAGAAATGAGACCAGAACTGGTTCTCTAATTAGACTAATACAATTTAAAGGTGTATAATATTTACACATGAGAAACTGAGCCACCAAGAAACATCAGATGTATAATAATTTGCATAATCTCACCAAAATAGAGTCTTATTAGCAGTGACATACTAGCGTATTATTAACCACAATGTATTGATGAGTTAAAGAGACATTACAATAAACTAAATTATTATGAGTTTTTCAATTTCGTAGATATATTAATCAACATTGCTATCATTAAAATTTTCCAAGTATTTAATTAATTTCAAAAGTGGCTGTCTATAGAAAGCAAGTAAACCTTGCAGAAATTGGCCAGTGATAAATACACATGTAGGTGTGCATGCATAGTACCTATTTGACACTTAGTTGGGGTTTTTGAGCAATGTCAAACCGTAAGCTATGCTTGTACAAGCGAGCTCATTCAAATATCTTGTAGTCCTGGTATATTTATCTCAGTATGCATGTAAACTGAACAGATTCAACTCAAATTTTAAAATTGAATAGAAATCATATTACATGTAAATTGAAATGACCTATAAAATCAACAGTTTAATATTCCTTTAATCAGATCAAACCAAACATTAATTATGTCATTTAGAATGTTGTGATTGGTGACAAAAGAGAAGATTACTGACACTATATATTTTCCACAAATTTTTTTCGGGCATCTCAGGTTCTGCCCCCCTAACATTCACGAAGCCTGTGCGCCTATGGTTTTCTCAATCGGCGAAGATTGTCTGTGTGAAATAGGGGAATATGATATACATGTAGCTTCATTTGTTCTCATTTTTATTGAATATGCATTTCATAGTCTAAATAGATGCTTTTATGTTGTCTAGTTAATTGATAGGAATGTTTAATAGCATCATATGCTTCTTAACTTTAGGCAAACTAATTTAGAACGATATACAGTAAACTTTGCATAAGTCGGATCTAAGTGGACTGACCCGAGTTCAGCGAAGATCTGAGTTAGCCGAAACCGAAATTCAATTTTAGCTCGTTTAGAAATAAACGGCAAGAGCCGTTCGTTCGTTCCTAGAGTTTTGTGTCCACTTTCACCATGGTTGATATGGTAGACAAGCAAGAGCCAGTTAATAATTGATTCAAAGGCACATTTCAAGCTTTTACTTTCGTTCGAGTGGATAACTTCCGTTTTGTCGCCATCTTTGAAAAATGTCCAAAATTTTCCCGGAAAGTGTCTTGTACAGTAGACAGTGAGTTTCGAATTTTCCGGGAAAATTCTGTTATTGCGTCGCGTCAAATAGGCTGATTTAAGTCAAAATCATAGGGAAAAGTATTTTGGGACTCTCTGCATGGAATATCTAACCGCGTTTTAGACCATCGGTACGAAACTGACTTAGTCAAATTCTGAACATACCGCCGATCCGACTTAGGTGAAGGAAAAAAGCCGGAATTAGATTAAATGGACTGAACATTTTGATCCCAGTTGAGCAAAGATCTGACATAGGAAATCTGACTTACGCGCAAAAATTTAATAAGAAAAACATGCAGGATCAAAGGGTCAAAACGATTTTAATCGAGTTGAGCGAAGATCCGACTTACATGTACATGTATACGAATCCGACTTATGCAAGGTTTACTGTAATAACAACACATAACCATATTGTTCAAATTTTGTAGGAATGTCTTTCATTGGGGGCTATTTAAATGAGTTTGTCTGACTATCCGTCCTGTCACACTTTTGGGATACAATAACTCTTTTTCTAATTGACCTAGAATGTTCAGATTTAGTGTATTTGTTCATTTGATTGAGTTCACTGATGGTCATTTTCTACTTGCGCTTAGCAGAGGTTAACAATTTGATTTATCGATCCTTTGCAACATGATACAATATGTAACTCGGATTCTAATTGAGAGAGATTGATGAAAGTTGCTGTATGGTTTCATTAAATCCATTCCTTGAGTAAGTTCAGTATGATTTTTTTCTGCTCAGGTTAAGCAGAATGATGACTAATTTGATTGCTCGATGCTTTATAAAAAGATAAACATTCAAGTAATTAATGAATGTCATGTATCGATATTTGGTTTAGGGTAGGAGACATCAGTCTCACTGTTGGCTTGTTTGAATATTTTTTAGATATGTAAAAGGCTAATGTACCATTTGAGAAGTTTCAGATTTTTAATTTAGATG